TGGCGCTGACGGCTGCCGCGGCGCTGGTGCGCCTGGCCCAGCTGGGCGCCGCCGACGTCCAGTGGAGCCGCTTCGTACGCGGCCGCCCACGGCACTTCACCAGCTTCGAGCAGGTGGCGCAGTTGAGTGCGGCGGCCCGTGGCCTCGTGGCCTCGTTGCTCTTCTTGCTCTTGGTCAAGGTGAGGGATGGGCCGGCGAGCACGGGGCCTGGGCGCAGACCCCAGGGGACGCTGGCTGACTCTCCCCTTCCCACAGGCCGCCCAGCAGCTGCGCTTTGTGCGCCAATGGTCCGTGCTCGGCAAGACGCTCTGCCGGGCTCTGCCGGAGCTTGTGGGGGCCACCTTGGGCTTGGTCGTGCTCGGCGTGGCGTATGCCCAGCTGGCTGTTCTGGTAGGTGGCTGTGCAGGGGTGCTGGCCGGGCGAACGGCTCAGCCCGGCATACACTTACTCGTGTCGCCGCCTCCGCAGGTCGTCTCCTCTGGGGCGGACTCCCTTTGGAGTGTGGCCCGGGCCCTCCTGGTGCTGTGCCCCAAGGCAGGGGCTCCCACCCTGTGCACGGCTGAGTCTTGGTCCTTGTCCCCGCTGCTGTGTGGGGGGCTCTGGGCCCTGCGGCTCTGGGGAGCCCTGAGGTTGGGGGCGATTCTTCTCCGGTGGCGCTACCACGCTCTACGAGGGGAGCTCTACCGCCCTGCCTGGGAGCCGCAGGATTATGAGATGGTGGAGCTGTTCTTACGCAGGCTGCGCCTCTGGTTGGGCTTCAGCAAAGTCAAGGAGGTGGGTACGGCCCAGTGGGGGGGAGAGGGACGCACCCTGGGCCCAGGTGAGCCCAGGGTGCAGCCGGACTGACCGAGCCCCTGTGCCGCCCCCAGTTCCGCCACAAAGTCCGCTTTGAAGGGATGGAGCCGCTGCCTTCCCGCTCATCCAGGGGCTCCAAGTCTTCCCCCGACGTGGACGTGCCCCCGTGCAGTGCTGGCTCTGATGCCTCATACCCCTCCACCTCCTCCAGCCAGCTGGACGGGCTGAGTGGGGGCCTGGGCAGGCTGGGGTTGAGGGGGGAGCCGGAGCCCGAGCCTTCCCGTCTCCAAGTCGTGTTTGAGGCTCTACTCATGCAGTTTGACCGGCTCAACCAGGCTACAGAGGACGTCTACCAGCTGGAGCAGCAGTTACAGAGTCTGCGAGGCTGCCGGAGCAGTGAGGCCCCTGCCTCACCTCCCCCTGGCCCCTCCCCAGGCCTGTGGCCAGCCCTGCCCAACCGCCTTGCCCGGGCCAGTCGAGGCATGGACTTGGCTACAGGCCCCAGCAGGGTATCTCTGCGGGCCAAGAACAAGGTCCACCCCAGCAGCACTTAGCCCCAGGGAACCTGGACTCATGTCCCTTCCCTGGGACAGGGCCTGTGGCTTTGCTCTGGCTCCTCGCGACCAGAGTGGACACCATTCAGTATTACCTTCTGCCGCCCTCAAGGTCTTGGGCCAGGCAGACGGCTGCACACAGGTTCCCCAGAGAGCAGGCAGGCTCTGTCTGTCTGTCTGGGAGCTTCAGCACTTTAAAGAGGCTGTGTGGCCAGCCAGGACCCAGGGTCCCCTCCCCAGCTCCCTGTGGGAGGACACAGCAGTATTGGACGGGGCCCAGCCTCTGAGATGCTAATTTATTTCCCAAGTCCTCAGGTACAGCGGGCTGTGCCCGGCCCCCTTGGGTAGCCATCTCCCCATGCTAAGGATCCGGGCTTTGGGGAAGGCTATTCCACACCTCCGTCCCCTTCCCCTAAGTTATTACTCTCCTGCTCCCTGCTCAGTGCACTCACCTCCAGCTGCCATCTCACTGTGTCTGTCAGTAATTTATGTGAGGTTGAAATGTCTATATTTTTGTATGTCACTATATTTCATTAGGGCTGAGGGACTTGGTGGCTGAAGCTGGGCCCTATGCCTACTGTTGCCCACTATGAGGGGGAGCAGGGACTGTAGAGCTCACCTCCCTTCCCCAGACATCTGCCACGACATGGCTCTGCGGGTGTGGCCTGGTCTGGGGAAGCTACATCTGTTTATTGGATCCGAGTCTGGCCTTGGGCAGGTGCTGGACACCACTGGAGGACACAGCTGCCCCCAGCATTCTCATCACCACTGTGGCCCTGTTTTCCTCCCTGCCCGAGGCTGGGCAGCGAGAGGGCAGCACCTGAGCCTGCTGGTATCAGGTCTGGGTGAGGAGTAAGACTAGTACATGTCAAAGGGGAAGGTCTGTGTGTGTGTGGCAAAGACCCTGCAGTGGTTGGGGAAAAGACCTGTCCCAGGGGCTGGCTCCTGGGCTGGGGAAGGTGTGTGACAGAGTGAGAATGTGCGTGAGAGGCCGCTCCTGCAGATTGAGGCCTGGGCGGCACCAGTGCGACCGTCCCCAGGGGGCCCCTTGGAGCTGGCTACGCCTGCTTCTGCGGATCGCTTCTGTGGGCATGGCTGCCGCCATAGCCTCAATCCTGTCCCCACAAAACAGACAAAGTCAAATAAAGGAGCTGTCTGACTGCTACCTGTGCCTCTGTCTTAAGTGCCGAGGGCTAGGTGGGCACGGCAGTTTATTTCATTTACACATAATACCGTCTAGTGACACATGGGGGGCAGGGAGGAGCCAGCCGCAGCTCAGATGACAGCCACAAGCCCTGGGCGTGTGCCCAGCATCTTGGGCACCCCAATGGGACCAAGCACCGCCCTGTCACAGCCTCACACAAACTCTGTGAAGTCATCCACGGAAGAGATGAGGCGCTTCCGCTGGCCAGTCTCGTAGGTGGGCGTGGGCTCAGGTGGGCTGGGCGCTGGGGCTTTGGTGTGGGCTGGAGGGTGCATTTGCATCAGGGGCAGGCTGGGGTTCGAGTAGTGGGCTTCCTCACGGATCTGTGGGGGAAGAGGCAGCACATGCTCTGCCCAAGGCAGCCACTGCCCTGCAGCCTGGGACACTAGCTTCCACCCTAGTTGACCATCGTATCCCTAACAGACCCCCATCATCATTACCCGGTGGCGAAGCCGCTTAATGTGGCGGAGCCGGGCAATCCACTTGGAGGGGTAGATGTCAGTGGGGTTGGAGCGGCTGTGGTGCACCTGTGAGGCCATCTGGGGACAGGAGGGCAGGGTGGTGAACCCTCCATCAAGTGGCACTATGGGCCCCTCTCGCCCACCAGGCCCTTGGAAACCACCTCCACTCACATTTGCATGCAGTGCCATCTGGCGGGCCACGAAGGGCAGGTTGCGGTCAGACACGATCTTGGCCATGCTGGTGTCCACGAGGCCCTCCATATCTGGGGAGACATGGCACTAACACAGCTCAGGGTCCTGCACACCACCCCACCCCTCCCTGCCCCTGCCTCACCTTTCCTGCACTGCAGCGACACCAGGTTGCACTGGTAGTCCAGGGGGGTGATGATCACGTGGACGAAGTTGAACTGGCCCTGCCCAAATAAGAGAACGTGCTGAGGGCCACTTTCTGCCATTCCCTCACTTAGCTCAGGAGGACATTTGCTCACCGGTGTGTTAGACATTTGTCACCTCAATGGGCAGCAGTTAACCACCCACCTCTGCACCCAGACTTCCTCCTCACCCAGCCTGGTGAGGTCCGCATCACTGGCTGGACCCAACCTGCTCCACACCTGAACACCAACACCTGCATGTGCTGGAGCATCTGCCTTCACACACACGGCCCCCTCCATGCTGCCCAGCAGACACCCTGCTCCGTTGTCAACTAAGCAGACACCTGGGCTCCAGAGCACACTTGCATCTGATGCCTACATGCTGACACACCCCAAATGTCTCTCCAGCCCACACACCCAAGTCCCTATTGGCCCGGCAATGACAGTGCCCTGAGCGCCCCATCTCATGAGTGGCACACCGTTCCCCCACCCCCCACTGTTCCTGGATTCCCTCCCTCCACTCTCTGCATTTGTCCTGAGAGTCACACCAGCCCCCCACAGGCACTCCTGCCCTCTAGCAGATCCTCTCTGCCCAGCAGCCCCAGGGTTTTTGGTCAGTGTTCTCAGACACTTCCTTGTACATTCAGAGTAAATCCAAATGCCCTCCAAGTGTAGCACTTCTGCCCACCTGCCCTGCCTGGGACCCTGCCCAGTGCTCCCCATCACCCTGATGCCCACCAAGGACATGGACAAGCACTGCTGTGACAAATCTGCTGACTGAGCCCACCTCCTCCCCATGTCCACCATCTAGGACATGGGTGATCTTGGTGCCTACCCAATGGCACTGTGCGTGATAACCAGGTAAAAGGCTGAGCAGACAGCCAGAAGGGACCTGTGAGAGCCACGGCCACGAGAGCTGCTCTGAGCAGACTCTAAGAACCTATGACGTGCGTGCACCCCGCCAAGCACAAACGCATGCAAATTCAGTCACTCCTGACAAAAACCACAGCACCACAGCAGCAGGGGCCACAGACTCTATTGCAAAGAGGAAGAAACTGAAGCTTAGAAAGATTAAAGACCTGTGGCAACATCATCCTGCTCCCCAACAGCCTCTCCCAGTAGATGGGCCACTGTCATCACCCTCATCACTGAGATCCACCACTCAGGACAAACCAGTGGACACCTCCAACCAGTCCAGGAGGCGGGGACAGAGATGCCCAAGGCTCAGGCTTTGCCTGAGGGGCCCTGCCCACCCTGCGGCCCCTCACTCACTCTGATGGTGCCCAGCTTGAAGTCCTCGCCAGAGTCATTGTAGACAATGGAAACAAAGTCGTTGCCCAGGTGGCGCTTCTTGTCACAGCGGTGCTTGTCCACGTCCTTGGTGGGCATCAGGGTGGCAATGTGGAAGACAGCTGTGGGCAGGGTGAGGTTGGGCTGGTCAGGGCAGGGCCAGGAAGGGACTTCTAGGGCTGGGGTCTGTGGGGATCCCGTCAAGGCCCTCTGTGCCTCTCTCCAGGCCTCTTTTGGTTTCTCCAGAGGCTCTGAGGGCCTGCAGGAGCCATGTCCTCGGCACCTAGCTAATGGCACTCAGCAGAGCCCCGAGGCAGAGCTGCCAGCGCTATTGATGCCTCAGTGCCCAGGCTGGGGAACCAGGCTGTCAGGGTACCTTGCATGATGTCATCATGCCAGCAGTACGTGAACTGGCCGTCCTCGCCACACACATCCAGGCCACCCAGGTACACCTTATCTGGCTGGCAGTCCTTGAGCTCGATAAGCTTGCCCAGGCCTGTCAGGAACTCTGTGTACCTGTAGGAGCCGTGCTCGTTGGAAAGGATGGCAAGCTCGCTGCTGCTCTGCAGGAAGAGGAGGAGAGGCAGGGTGGTTCTGCCCCCAAGCTGAGCCTGTTCACACCCTACCAGGGTCCCATCAGTCCCCACCCCTGGCTTCAGGGTGCCCCAGCACAGCTAAGAAGGGTCTGGAGGGATTGTCATTGCTGGAGGTCCAGGGGTCACACAGCAAACTCATTCTAACAGCTGCCCAGGCCAGAGACCTCGGTGTCACCTGTGACTTCCTCCTCTCTCACTCTCCATGTTTAGTCAGCCAGCAAATTCAGTCAGCTCTATCTTCAAAGCACACCCAGAACTCTAGCACTGCTCAGCAGGCCTGTGCCCCCACGGGGCTGCTCCTCTTGCTGGGGCTGTCGCTGCCCCACCTCCACCCACTCTCCACTCAGCGGCCAGAGGAACACTTTCAAACCTCAGGGGAGTCATGTCAACCCCTGGCTTAGAACTGCCTGAGGCTCTCCTACCTCACCCAGAATGACGGTGCAGCCTACAGTGGGCTCTGAGGCTGCCCACGACTGCCAGCCCCATGATATCCCTCTCCTGTCTCCTCCCCAGCTGCGCCCCACCCCAGAGCCTTCACACTTGCCACCTTGTGTGGGATGCTCACCTCCCCCAACCTACAAACATGCTCCCCTCCCTACCTTCCCTGCCTCTGTTCAAATGTCACCTCACGGGCTGGCCGGTTAGCTCAGTTGTTTAGAGTTCAGCCTCAAATGTCACCTCACTCCGATCATCCAACATGGACAGAATCCTCCCCACACCACACACTGACCTGCTCCCTGATTGCCTACAGTCTTATCTCTGGCATATGCACTGCTTACACACTGACCTGTCATTCTCACGTCTGTGTCCCCAGCACTCAGCACAGGGCCTGGCACAGAGCTCAGTGAGCACCTGATACTCTGGAGGATCATGCAGTGGCTGGTCTCTGGAGAAGGGAAAGGGGCCCATCCCCACTCCCACCACAGGCAGGGAGGCCCACTGGCCCTGTCCTGGCACCCAGGACCCTGCAGCCCAGTAGCCTCACCTGACCTTCTCCCACATACAGGACAGCAATCTTGTGTGTGTCGTAGGACGGGATCTGATCAAGAAGCTGCACCGACCGCTCAAAGGACTGTAGCCACACAGAGCCCCGCCTGAGCCCAGGGCAGAGGCTGCCCCTGCTGCCAGCCTCACCCAGATGCCAGTCCACAGAAAGGCTGTCCCCACACAGATAGATCTCAGCAGGCTGCCACGGGGAGCTGAGGCTTTAGCCCTCGGCATGCCTAGCCCCTGACCACCACTGCCCAGAGCCAAGGACTCCCACTGTGTCCCCCACCCACATGTGGCTCCAGGGGAACTCTGCAAAAGAGGTGGGGCATGCCTACCTCGTTGGGCAACAGGATTGGCTTGTTGGACTCATCACCAAAGAAAGGCGAATGGTACAGCTGTAGGAAGACGAAGCTGCGGGGGAGAGAGGTGGTGAGGGCTGGGCTTGGGGCCCAGGTCAGGGTCCTGACTTCACAGCCACAGCCCATGTGGAGAGAAACAGGGTCTAAGCCCCATCAATGAAGGAACTGCACTCGTCTGTGGTTCCAACTAGCCACAGTGCAGAAGACATGAGGACCTGTCCCCCCCAGCCTGCCCAGGGCACCATGTCCGCATGGAAAGGGTGACTGGGAGCTCCAGCTAGAGAGATGAGACCCACCTGGGGTTGATGCCCGGCACTTTCTCAGCATTGGAGGCTGCAGCTCTGCTCTTGAAGGCATCCCTCTCTACTCTCTTGCCCCTGCGTGATGGGGCCGAATCAGAGATGGTGTAACCTCGCGGCCGAAGGCCACTGGGTGAGCGGGGGGAGCTGGAAGGCAAGGGACTCTCGGGCTGGGCAAGGCCCAGACCCCGGCTCTCTTCGCCTGGGGCTGACCAAGCAGCACCTTCCCCATCCAGGATCCCTGACTGTGACCGGGTCTTGGCTTCAGGACTGAGCCGGCCAACATCAGCCTTGTCCCCAGGGTCCCCAAGGATGTCTTGCAGGGTCTGCAGCTCGGGCGAGGAGCTGGACTTGCTCAGGGGCTGTGAGGGCTGGAAGGAGAGGTCCACAGAGGACTGGTCTCCCTCAGAGGAGACGGCCCGCTCGATGGGAATGGCCCCAGCAGCCAGCTCTTCTGCACGGAATGACTTCTCCTCCTGGCTAGAGGTTGAGGATGACTGGAAAGGACCCACCCAGAGAGAAGCTTGTCAGGAGGTGCCCTTAAGCCCACCTGGGCTTAACCTGAGGCCCTATCTTTCCCCCAGCCCAGGGCCACAGAGCCACCCAGGCCCCAAGCCATGGCCCCTACCCTCCGTGCAGCAGCAGCTGCCTGTGCCCCACACCAAGTGGTGCCTAGCAGACACAGCGCCAGGAAACTGAGACTGTGCAGCAAAGACGTGGAAGGACATCTTGCCACTTCAGATAAGAAAGAGGGAGCAAGACTTGCCCAAGCTCACAGAGACCAGCCCTCCGTAGTCAGAGTGCAGGCCTCGCCCGCCATCAGCCCCTCGGCTCAGCCCCACCCCTCTCCCCGCTCTGCCCCTCCCAGCCACCTTGGCCCCACCCCTTGCCCTGCTCTACCCCTTGTCCCTTCCTCCAGCCCTCTTGACTCAGGGGCTGGGCCCCCAGGGCTCCCAGCTGCACTCACCCTGCTGTAGGCCTCAGCGTGCCCACAGTGCCTGTCTGTGCCCAGAGCTGCCTCGAAGTCCTCCAACTCAGGGGGCTCCATTGATGCATGAGCTTCTCCTGGACCTCCCTCCTCCAAAACCACGGCAGAGTCTGGGAGGACAAGAATGGGGCTGCTGAGTGCGAGGCCGGCCCTGGCACTCACGTGGCCTCAGAGTATCAGCTCTGCCCTGTTGGAGGGAAGCAGGGCCTGCCCAAGACTCTGCTTGCTGTTGCTGCCTGTAGAGTAGGCTGGGAAGAGGACGCTCTGAGGGGCTGGGGCCTGAGCCCTGACACATGTCTCCTGCATGGACTCCTGGAGGCCAGATGGCAGCCGGCTCTGCCCACCCATGTACACCAGAAGCCGTCTCTGCACTTCCAGTGGGGCGGGTAGTCTAGGGCAGAATGGATGCCTTTATGAGGAAAGAGCTCCCACCTGAGACCAGCCCTCAATAACCGAGGAAGGAGGCCGAGTTTCTCCGTGACTTCGGACCCGAAGAAAAGGCTGGCGTGGGAGAGTCCCCTCCCCATATGCATACACAGGTGGGAGCCACGCCCACGAACAGAGGCTCACCCGCCAAGTCCAAGCTAGAACCACAGCTGGGCGTGCTAGGAGAGAGGGCACTAGGTCCCAAGCAGCATTTCCTGTGCCATCAGCAGGGCAGGGTACGGGTGAGTAGAAGCCACCGAGGGTCAGCGCAGCCCACGGACACCCCCGCGCATAGCCCCTGCACACACGCAGCCTGTCAGATGCCGCCAGAACCCATCTGCACAATGCCCTTCCTAACTGGCTCCTGCCCACACTTGGGACCCTGGGGCTCAAAACCCACCCTGCTAGGGCCTGGGGGAAACAGGCCAGAGACCAGGCTGTAGCACCCTTGGCCAGCCTGGACGAAAGGGGGATGCAAAGTCATTTGTGAGCTCACAATGCCAATCAGACCACTGAGTCCAGGGCATGGTCAACTCGCCTGAGTCCCAGAGCCGGGCTCAACCTCACACAGCTGCCACCCACCAGAAGCTGCAGCTTAGCTGATGTCACCAAGGAGACCTAGGGCCACCCTCATGACCTTGGGCCTGAAGAGAGGCAATGAGGGCTCGTACACTTTGGGAACAGAGCTCAGCCACAAATGGGCATGAGTCAAAGGGGTTCCTGCCAGCAAAGCAAAAGTGTTCTGCACAGATATCCTCATGCAGATTGGGAGCCTGCTCCCCAAGGGCGATGAGATTCACCGACGGGACCATGGAGGGTGACCAATGAGGGTGATGACAACAGCATCTATGAGGCAGAGCAGGGCTCTGCAGCAAACACCGCTTCCTTAACAAGACGCACGAATACCTGCCCAGGAAATGCTCCTGTGCAGCTTTCCTTGGCAACTGGACTGGTACAGGGAGGAGAAAGAGGCCACTGCAAGGGAAACCACGTGAGCGGCCAGGTCAGCAGGAGAGCCTGCACACAGGTTGCGCAGAGAGGACAGGCACCACTAGTCTGCACAGACCCCGAGCCTGGAGAGGAGAGAGGGGAGGGCCAGCGGCGTCCGGCGCAGGGTGTGGGGGGACACACAGGTCCTAGCTCTCCAAGCTGCATGAGCAGGGCTTTCGGGAGGAGAGTGCTTCCCTCCTCACAAGCAGATGTCCTCAGCCTCCAAGTGCCATCTACGGCTACAGGGAAGGGCCCAAAGGCCTGGCCTAGAAGGATGGCACCAAGCCCGGCCTGGGTAGGGGAATGAGAGTGCATGGGCAGGCAGGTTCAGGAATCCAAGCCCAAGCCCAAGCCCAAGCAGGAACTGCAGCTGTGTAGTGCCTGAGGACAGCACCAGCGCCCCATGGAGGGTGCTGGGCAAAGGCCTTATGGGGCTCTGCCCATTTCCGATGCTGCCATCCCCAGCAGCATCCTGAGTGAGGACCAGCCAGTATCAAGTCTCCAAAACAGAGGATCCCTTTGGCAGGAGTGAGCCTGCTCCCAATGTCAGGGTCCAAAGCACCAGAGTCCTCCCACACACCCCTGAGGATGACAGTGCCAAGACGGGCTTGAGGACCCCACCCCAGGCTGTGTGGAAGACCTCAGTGGAGGAGAACCACACTACCATCAGACTGAGCACCAGGCTGGTGGGAGCCGGGACCAGAGCCGCCCAGGACTCCGAGCACAGGCCTGCCACCTGCTCACCTGTGTTGGAGCGTGGGAGAGTGGGGGACTTGGCCGTGCTGGCTGCTGGAACTGACAGCGACTTGTACAGGGCTGTGTCCCGGTGCTCCTTGAAGCGTTCAGCCGCCATGAGGGCATTGGACAGCTCCTGCAGAGGCATGTTGTTGATGTCCGAGGAGAAGGGGCTGAGTGGGTTCTCCAGGCTCATGAGCCAGCTGGTGTTCCCTGGGGAGGGTGGGCAGCACCCCTCAGGCCTCACATTCAATGCCTCCAACCAGCCATCCCCTCAGGTCTCCCAGGGCAGTCTCCTGTGCACCAGGCAGCCCGGGACCACAAGGCCAGGGCCAGCCTCTTTGGCCATCACCCTCAGGGATGGGCACTGGGGCCAGCCTCAGCCAGACTCAAGGGGAGCATCTCAGAGCAGCAGCCCTGCCCAGAGCCCTGCAGCCAGCCCCCATGTCCTCTTCTCACTACCTGGCCCACACCACACCAAGGTGCCTCCTGGGCACTGGGCACTGGGCCTGTGCTAAGGCCTTCCTTTTGCCTGAGATGCCCATTATGGGCTGAGTTGTGTCCCCACAAAATCCCTGTGTTGAAGTCCTAACCGCCGGACCTCAGAATGTGACTGTATTTGGAGATGGGGTCTTTAGAAAGGTAATCAAGGTTAAATCAATCATTGGGGTGGGCCCTGATCCAATCTGACTGGCATCCTTATAAGGAGAGAACACACTGTGAGAATAAATCTCTATGGCCTGAGCTGCTCTCCCCATCAGCAACCTGGATCACCCCCCCACCATTACCTCCCCAGTGTCCCCACGGCCAGCTCTGCCGCTTGATCCTCTGTGCGTCCACAGCCCTATGGGTAAGCCCCACACTTACTACACTGGGGCACAGGGCCAGATGGGCACAGGGCTGCCTTGCAGAAGCATGGGGAAGCCCAGCCCAAACTGGCCTCTCGTACCTGTGGGCCTCCGGACCAAGATCTCTGCCCAGCCCTGGGTTAGCAGGGGCACGTAGGCCGCCAGGTTTTTCTTCTCCTGTGCTGGAGTCTGGGCGCCCGCTGAGGCCTTCTCGGGCTTTGTGGCTGGTGGAGTCTGTGGTCCTGGAGAAGTGGAGCCACCTGGGAAGTGGGAGGCGGGCACGTCCAGGGCACCAACTCGAAGGCCATGGCCCCCTGAGGAGGAGGATGGAAGGCCTGGTGACCACGACCTGCCCAGGGCTCTCTGATGGTGCTGGCCTCAGCGGGCCCAGGGCAGCAAGGGCCAGACCAGGGCCTGCTTGGGCTGTAGCAGAGGAAACTGCCAGGCAGCCAGGCTGAGGGCTCACAGGACACACCAGCAGTGAGAACAGGCCCTTAGCAGCTGGGGTCTCTCTCCACAGCTGTGCAGAGGTGCTGCCCCTCCCATGCAGCCTGGGACGAGCGTCAGAGACCACATCCCAGGGGCATCAGGAAGTGGGCCAGGCCTGAAGCCGGCCACTCCACCCCTCAGGTCCAAGGGGCCTTCCTGAACACAGGAACCCACACAGAGGCAGCTGAGGCTCACCCGACATGGAGCGGACCCGGTCCCGGGCCCCGCGGGACAGCTGCTGTCCAGCCTGGGACTCCAGCTTGGCCGGCGCCTCCTTTGTCTGTCGCACATGCACTCCGGGGTCAGAGCTGCAGACAGAAGTGCCCACACACAGGGTAACTGGGGTCCCCCCAAGGGCCTCCAAGCCAGCACGGCCCAGGCCCACATGGATCTGGCTTGGGGCAGCCAGCATGGAGGCCAGGCAGGCTTGGGCAGGAGAGTGCAGTCACCTTGACTCTGGGCCGCCCTGAAGCTCCCCTGAGTCTAGGCCCAGCAATGACCGGGTCCCAGTCCCCACACTTGTCGTCACGGTGACAAGCTTGTTCCCAACCAGCCACGTCTTGGTCCTGCCGCCTGCCAGGAGGAACTCTCCCACAGGAGACCTAAAAGCACAAGCAGCATCCACTTCCAACTTTCTGGAGGAGGCTCCCAGTCAGGGTGCCTCAGCTCCTGCAGGCTGGCCCAACCTCAGGAGCCCAGAGCACCCGCAGCCTGGACAGCCCACAGCAAGGAGGACCCATGTAGCCATATACTTGCTGCCCCAGTGTGGACCAAATACAGCCACAGACAAAAAGCTAGATGTCTGCATTCCTGGCCCCAGCCCTGAAGCACGGTCTCATACCTCTTGGGGACTGCCGTGAAGTTGGAGAACACATATCGGGCCATCATGTCCAGACATGTTTCTGTGAGCTCCAGGTGGAGATTTTTTAAGTTGTCGTCTGCCTGAGCCATGGAGTTCTCATCTGCAGATCCCAGGCTGGCACTGGTGAGGGATGTCTGTATCCTGCTGGAGGGAGAGGCCACAGCCGGGGTCAGGGCGCCGATGGGGCTGGGCCCAGCCACCTACCACCAGGGGACAAAGCTCAATGCATGCACAGCTGAGAGGGCCTCGCTCAGAAAGACCCAACCAGGGCACTGTGGCCACCTGAGCCACAGCCTTGAAAATCGTGTGAACCACATCATCCCAGAGAGGAGGGGAGACGCCTTACGGGAAAGACCCAGGTCCCCTGGTCAGAGCAGATATTTAGGAGACTGGAGAGACAGAACATCCCCTCTCACCGAAGCACACAGGAGAGCTCGTTAATAGCTTTGGGACAGAACAGATTAGTCATGCAGAGACATGAAGGCCATGGGAGACAGACTGAGATTGCATTCTGCCCACAGGCCGCCTCCCAACCAGGACACAGAGGATCTGGGCTCTTTATGCTCAAGCTCAGGCCAGGCTAGCCTGGGCTATTGCCTGAGCTCCACATGCATGCCAGGGACTGAGAGAAGGGCTTATGCAGGTTTAATTTTGGTGCAAATTTCATAGCCTCTTTGCCATACGTTTTTGTTCACGATAAAGAATTTGCTAGAAAAGAGCCAAGAGAGAAGCTTCACTGGGCACCCCCATCTCCCCCAACCCCCGGCCAAATCCCACATGACAGAAGCCAGCCTGAGACTGGAGCCCAAGCCAGGCAAATTGGCGGGGAAGTGGGTCCCTGTGCAGTGGGACGAAGAGGCTTAGAAGGGGGTCCAGGTGAGGACACAGGCAGTCCCTCTGTGAGTGCAGCCTGGGCCAGCAGGGATGACCCCCAGGCAGGCAACTGTTGAGATGTTGGCACCTGAGAGCTGGCAACTGCACCCAGACACAGCCAGGGGAGCCCAGGCCTGCCCCCTGCCCAGCCCCTCACAGGCTGACCCCCACCCCAGTGTCCTGCACAAAAGCCCCTTGTTCCCTTTTCAGCAACAACAGAAAATAAACCTTTTCTAGAAAGAACCCCCAAAAGAGAAGCCCACTCTAGAGAATATGATGAGGCCAAACCCCAGAGAGTGTGTCTCACCCAACCCGCACGGGCACTGCTTTTATCTGCAAAAGCCCCTGCCCTCCAGGGACAAGCCTGTGGGCAGCTAGCCTCTGAGGATGCTGTGCAGCCACCCGGGCTCATACGAGGCCTGGGGACAGAATGCAACCTTCCAACCCTCGTCACCAGGCTCTCCTGGGCCAGGGGCTGGGCTCTCCTCTAGCCCAGGCCTAGGGCGACGAGGTCATGCAGGCAGCCCCATGCACCACCACCCGGGTGCTCATGGGGTCAAGCTCCAGGGTCCGTGCCCCCCACCCGACACAGCCCCGCTACCTGCGGACCACATGTTCAGACACACTGATGCTGCGGCACCGGAAGGCCTCGGCTGCAGAGCTCTCCTTGCACTCTTTCACAGGTGGAGAGTTATTCCAGCCTTGTTTGGGGGGTCTGGCTATCCTCAAACTACCGGGTGAGGGAGGAAGCCCCACGCCCAGAGAGCCCAGCTTCCGGGAAGGGGACAAGCCATTGGAGGGGTGAGGAGGGAAGGTCCCAGGCCACAGGGTCGGGGCGGAGAGATCCCACGGGTCAGATGAACAAAGAGCCATGACAAAGGACAGTTAGCAGGGGAGAGACAGGAAACAAAAACGCATAAAAATACATCTCATGAACATGACCGAGAAAAAGTAAGGCTTCACGCGTGCTACCAAACAAAGAACATTAGCACAAATTAAATGTGTGGATTGCCCGCACGGCAGATTCCAGGCTGCACTGACCAGGCACCCCCCACCCCATGGAAGGCTGGCACCACCCAGCTCTGGGATGCAGGCGGGCACTGAGGCCCCAATGACCACACCCTGAAGTCACTGTGAAAAGAGGCCAATTCTCAGCTCGAGGCCTAAGAACCCCAGCAATGAGGTTCTGGCCACTGATAGCCTAGATTAACTCCCAGCCCCCAGGACTTAAGAGGGAGCTTCTCAGTTTAGGTGATACTGGAAAATGCCGTGTTTCCATCTAGTGAGAGCCAAAACAAGCTTGGGTGGGAAGGGGGTCAGGAGGGTAGCCGTTCAAATGAAATGCAAACAAGGACACGGAGACCTAGCACAGCTCTGTTTTTGGGTTCGGCAAAAGCAGCTGTGATGGTACAGAAGAGCATGTCCCCTGATTAGCGACAGGCTAGAGCGTGAGCTGTGGAGGGAGAGAGCAATCCTGGCCACAGGGCTGCATTAGGGGGCATCCATGGGCACTGGGCTCTCCCCACCCAGACTGGGAGTCACAGCTGTCCTGACAAACCCTGGGGTGCCTCCAATATAGTCAGGCCCAAGCCCAGACACCCATGGCCGGCACCTGCTCCCTAGCTGTATGAGTCTGCACTCGAGGCACAGCAGGCCCGGAGCCTGGCCCATGGGCTCTACAGTGCTACAGGCCACAGCGGGCCAGCCTGTTAAGTGTGGGCATTAGCGGCTCTCATGGGCCCTGTCTGCCTCATAAAGCCCAGGGCACCCTGGCCCCAGCACGGCCTACATGGTGGCATTACACTCACTGGCTTAGAAGTGGCTAGTCAGCCCAGACCCTGTGTGCACACTGGTCACTGGTCACTGGTCATAGGTCACAGCTCACAGCTCACATTGGGTCCTGCCCTGACCCATTCCAATAACAGGCATGCCCCTAGCAGGCCCCGTACCTTTTGGGCCTCTCGTTGAGACTGGTGCTCCGTGCTCTGAAGCTGTCCTTCTCAGGTGTGTCATCAAAAGACAGGAGGACATTGGAACGCAGGCCCTGGTGGAGCAGGGCAGACCTGAGCCATGAGGGGCTGCAGGGATGCCCTAGCCCTCAGCATGCCTGACAGGTACCCATCAGCCTGAGACGAGCTGCAGGCCCAGGACAAGGAGCGGGGCAGACCCGAGCCATGAGGGGCTGTGGGGACACCCCGGCCCTCAGCACTCCTACCAGGTACCCACCAGCCTGAGATGAGCTGCAGGACAAGGCAGCAGTTCCCACGCCCCATGCCTGCCGCAAGCCAGGTAGCAGCAGGTTGGCTCAGCAGAGCCCCCAGGCACTCCAAGCACAGCAACAAACGATACCCCATTTCTCTTCCCTGACTGCCACCCTACTCCAGCCACAAACAGCCAAGGGCAAAGCAGTTCCCGGCCCTAACAAAGGATCCGGCCTCCACTGGTCCTGGGGCCTACCTTAGTGATATAAGGAACAAAATCTTTCCGGAAGGGCAAGCGGCATCTGATAAACCACATGGCTATTACATGATGGGCCAGGCACACGATGTACTGATTGAACCTGAAACGGAGGAAAGGGAAGCCCTGGCACTCTACCTGCACCTGGCCCAGGAGCTGCAGGCACACAGCACAGGTGCCGAGGCCTCAGGTGATTCAGGGCACAGGCTTTCTGGAAGGGGCCCAGCCCGGGTGGCGGCCAGCACTTACTTGGAGGGGTTGGTGTATGGCAGGGAGATGGCAAACACACTGGCGTACTGCTCTGCAGCGAAGTTCCTGTAGAGGTGAGGCAGCCTGGCAAGAGCTATCACCCAATAAAGACAGTTGGTAAGGGGAGCCCAGCAAAGACAGGCCATGGCCGCCAGAGGGGCGGGGGTCCCCAGGGTCCTGAGCTGTGTTTCTAAAAGCCAGTGCAGCTGCTCTGGCCCACCACAGGGAGGGGGTGCTGCAAAGGGGAAGTCCACAGCCACCTGAGCATGACCTTGCTGACTCCATTCCAGGATCTGCAAGCCAGGGTTCCCAGGCCACACCCAGCCTATGACCTGTGTTTGTATGTCCCACGAGCTACGACTGGCATTTACATTTTTAAAGGGTCTTAAACAAAATACTATCTTCTCTCTGGCCCCTCACACAAAGTGCTGACCCAGCTCTGTTCTGTTGTCCACACCCGATGCCTTACGCTGGCCAGACACGCACTAGATGGTGGGAACAAGCAGCCCCAAGAGCTCCCGGAAGTCATGACCTGAGAGAGGGACAGACAGCAGGGCAGCCAGCAGAGCCCCAAGCTGTGGTAAGTGTCAGGGACAGAGAGGGGGTTAAGCACGCCAGGCTGGGCACGGGGACCAAGGAGGGAAAGAAAGGAGACAGAAGCCAGAAGGCCAGGAAGAAAAGTGCTCATGGCATGGGGCAAGGGGTGCCTGGGCCCTGAGGGCGGCAAGACCCAGTTTCCCCAGGGAGGCCAGAGAGAGGTTGCAAGATGAGCTTGGATACATAACACAGGTCACTTCAGGCAGGGTGCAGCCCCAGACTCAGGGGTCCCCTTCACAGGTGGGGCTGCAGGCACTCACTGGACAGGAACTCCAGCAGCGGGATGGCCATGCTGGCAGTGGCTGAGATGTGTGTGAGCTTCACCACGAGAACGGGCAGTGCTTTGATGATGATGTCGGGCATCTCCACGCTGCAGATGGCCAGGGCCACCACACACTGGCTAGCGCAGCGGTAGATGAGACCTTGCTCCAGGCAGTACACCATCTCCCGCTGTGGGAGGCAAGAGGTCTCAGACCACACCCCTGCCTGCAGCAACAACTGTCCTGCTGTGCCAGGTGCTTCCGCAGGGCCTTGGCTTCCCTTGCCCACTCTAGACCACTCCACAGAGTGGGGGAGGGGGGCCAAGGTGTAGGAAGGTCCCTGGACACCTCAGCAGCACAGCCACCCAGCCACTGACCCACTGAGCAGACTCTATGCAGCAGATACTGTCAGAGACTTCCTGACCATCCCACGGCCACAGGACCCCACCCCCAGCCCACCCTGGAACCAGGACCTACTGGGCCCATCACCCCCTTAGCTCTGGGCCCCCCAACTGGCAGGCCTTGTGCAAGGAGAGGTGCCACCTGATGGAGCAAGGCTGTCTGGCCCCACCCAGACCCTGAGCAGTATCTGCTGCACAGACGGCAGCAGCATATAGCTCAGGCCACAGACCAGGGCAAATCATCAGGTGGCTCAATGCCCCAGAAACAGTTTTGCTTTCCTGCAGCCACCCCCCACCACTCGAAACCACTGTGGGCCCAGCAGGCCCTGAAGAAACCTTCAGCCCAGCATGGCCAGTGAGTCCAGGCCCAGCCAACAGGAAGGCTGGAACACACCCCAGTCCAGGGAGCAGGGGGGGGTTATTCAAGCTGAGCCTGAGGGATGGGAAGTTCAGTGTCAGTTCCCAACAGGGAATGATCAGGAACCTGGGCTCAGGGGAAAGACAGGCCAAGCCTGAGTCTAAGCCCCACTCTGCAGGCTGTGACCCTGAGTGGTGCTGACCTCTCTGAGACTTCAGTTCCTTATCAACGAAGCTGAAGGGCTGGCCAGAGAGATGGTGGGAAATGCAAGTGAGACAGAGAGTGTGGGTGTAGCAGCGTGGGGCAGAGGGAAGGCCACAGCTACCCGTGTGCTTTCTGCACCTGACCACAGGGGTGGGGGTCCGCACCTGCCCGCCCCACTGCAGCAGGGACGCACCAGGCAATGTTCCTCATAGACAAAGTGACGCTGCAGGGAAGGGAAGGACATAGGGGCACGTTCAAGGGCTGCATGAAAGCCCAGACCCCAGGGAGAACTCAGAAGCGCCAGGGGACTCAGATGTCTGCAGGTCCAGGCAGGGCTGGCCAGCAAGGGCCCAGCGGCCACATGGGGAAGCAGAGCCTGCTCACCTCCCCTTGGCCCAGTAGCAAGCCAGTTCATGAAGACACTGCTGCACCCACTGGGCTCAAGAAACCACGTACCATGACGTTCACCTGTCCCTCTCCCAACCCCTACCTGTTTGGTTTTGTCTAAGTAGTTATGGTAGGAGATTAATGCTGTCAGCACTGGAACCACGGCCAAGTGCAGGTCGGTTCTGGAGAACCCTTCTGGGGTGCCTCGCAGCCGCTCAAGGGTCTTTGGGCCTGAAAGCTAACGACCGAGACGCCGTCATATAGACCCTGCCTGATCGCCTGGGTGGCCAGGGGTACTGGGGAGACCCCAGAAAGGAAGGGTCAAGAGCGTGGGAGGCCATCTTCCTTCCTTTCCTGGGAAGGGTCCACCTTTTCAGAAAAGTGGGAGAATGCTCCCCAGTGGCATGCTAGGGAGAGGGGAAAGGACAGGAGACGACATACCCTTGACTGGGGACCTCAATTCCTGCCCCATAAGCTGGGAGTGGAAGAATGGGGTCTCTGGTGCATTTCTGGCCCATCCCCACGGCCTCTGCCCAGTCCCAGAGGCCTGATCCTGCTCCAGACAGGGCCTGGGACTCTAAAGGAGTCCAAGTCCCAACAAGGCAGGTCTCACATCTCACTCGCTCCTCCCAAGGGCTCACTGTCTTTTGGAGAAGGGGAAACTATACTGAGGCCCCACCCCCATCCCACCAGGCCTGCCACAAATGACAAAGCCAGGGTCAGCACTGGGCCCACGTGAGCGCTACCATGGAGCAGAGGGCAGAAGACAGCTGGTCAACGCTGCAGGGAGAGGTGAAGATGAGGACCTTGTAGCGCAGTGACTCGGGAAGCTTGCTGAGGACCAGCTTCAGCACCTTCCACTCGGTCTCCTGGAAGGAGAGGGGTGGTCAGAGGGAGGAGCGGGGCTGTCTGGACTCTGGAGCTCAGTGTTTAAGGGTCTGTGTGCAGCAGGGCAGCTGTGTGGCTTCTGGATTCCCGTTCTCAGCACGAGCGGGACTTGCCAAGCGCTAGCCCTCTGTCCCTCCAAGTGCAGTAGCAGATGTCCTTCAAAGGAAGTTCACAACTGGACAGTGACAGCTGCCCTCCAAAGGCCAGGTTGAATGGGAGGCCCAGCTCAGACTTCCTCAAGCCTGGCTCCATCCTCCTCTTATTTGCCCACTGGTGACCCAGCAGCCACCTACCCACAGCACTGTACCCTAGGGGTTCCTGAGAGATGCCTCCCAGAGCAGAGACTTCTACAGCAATGAAAATGTAGCAGGAAAAAGGCTATTATAGTAGCCAAAAGGGAAAAAGCAAGAAGTATTCTTCAGCAATCCACAAGCCGAGATACCTGCTACAGAACCAAGTCGATCCAAAACCACACAAATCGTGACCCTCTTGATCCTATCTCCACCTGGACATCTCTTCACAAGGAGCAATGGCTGCCCAGAGCCACACTGACAGGAAGGAGGCCCAAGAGTCTTTCCATGAACTCCATGATGACATGGAGGCCAGGGGACCCCATGGAATCTCCAGCAGTGGGCTGATGCCCACACTCAGGAGTCCTGGTCCTACTGCTCTTGCTGGCTCCGCCCTTGGCTCTCACCAGTCCCCCCACCCCCCTGCACGCTGCTGATGCCCCTTGTGGGCCAGTTCTCCAGCCTCTGCATCTGGGCTCTGGTGCACCTCCTGCTGCACGAAATGGCACCTACACAGCTTCCAGGTTTGCGTCTTCCCTCTGCCAAAACATTCCCCACCTCACAAGACTGATCTCACCTGCCCAGCAGGAGCCCCAGCCAGAGGTGAATGTACCCCTTTCAGCCCATATGCGCCCCCCATGAGACATGTCCTGGTCTACAGTCACAGTTACTCGTCTACACATCTGAATCCTGCTGCCACAACCATCTTCCCAGCTCCACCTGACGGGCTGCACTTGGCAAGATCCTGGGGGAGAACAGCAGGGACACAGGAAGCACAGCTCCCAAGGTCACTCACATGGGTGGCAAGTGCGTATGCTCTGAGAAGAAGACACCCTTGGGGCAGAGCCCATCGCAGTGCAGCCTGACCTCACAGAGCTGGGGCCTGGGCCCATCTCACCTGCTTCAAACACTGCAGCAGGACTCGGAAGAGCAGGGAGTACGGCAGGTAGCCAAGCCGAATAGTGGGGCCTGCAGGCATGGGGCCAGGTGGCCCAGTGGGGGGCGAAAGGGGGCCACTGGCCTTCTTCTCGGAGCCTCTCTCCGGCTCCCTGCAGAAGCAAGTGAGAGAAGCCACTAAGGCTGAGCCCCCACTCCACAGGGTGAGAACAGATGCAGCCCCTCCCAGCCAGCCCCGGCCACCATCGGGACCCCTTCAGGGACCATCCCTCAGATACATGACCAGCCCACATGGGGCAGGGAACCCCTGGCTCTGCCAACTGCCTCCACTGAGCCTAACACCCCACCTACGTGTAGTCACAGAGGCAATAGGGGCTGAATCTCACAGCCCCGTCCTTGTTGGGAAGGCCGAGGCGGTGCAGCGAGTCAGCCCGCAGCAGCAGCAGAAAGTCAAAGGCCTGTGTAAAATCAGAACGCATGATGCAGCAGCCAGAGCATGCACTGCCCAGGCCTACACTTCCCTGCCCTCTGCTGCAGGCCGCTGACAGATTCTACATCAGTACTATCAGGACCACGTGCCATCCTAGAAGCTTCCTTTTCTCTGCCCCATCCCAGGCCACCATGAGTCAAAGTGACAAACCACAGAGGAGCATGGACTGCAGGCAAAGGGAAGGGCGGTGGGTCCTGGGGAGGCTCTGGTCACAGCAGCAGCCACCAAGGAGGGAAGAATATCCTGTAGAACACTCCCTGGGCCACCTCCCGCCTCTCCAGACTCCGGGCACAATATTAGCCAAGACCAAGGTAGCTTGCTAGGCCACCTGGGAGTCATACCTGCAGCCGGATACTGCTGGCAATGGGCAGGGTGTAGCTGTGCTTGTAGTGGAGCTGGATGTGACTGACAAGCGTCTCATACACGCGCACAGCATGGCTGGCAGGCAACGTATACAGCTTAGTCTGCAGAGAGAAGGTGTTGATCACCACGAGGAAAAGGAGCTGGACCCAGCTGGGGAGACAGTGCTCCAGGACCCCGGGAGGAGAGGATGCAGGACCACCTCCCTGGAGGGTAGTTGGGTGGCACCTGCCATGCCTCAAAATGCACAACCCTTTAGCCCACCAGCCCCACCCCATGGCTTCATCTCTCCACGATGACAAAAAACCAGAAACAACATGTCCGTCTCATCAGCAGGGAATCGGTTAATAAATTAGGAAAATCCGTCCAGTGGAACACTACACAGCAATGCACAAAACCAGCTCCACATGTGCTCGAAGCGCTCAGGCCACAAGGCAAAGGGAGGGGCACACTCAGGTGGAGAGCATGCTCTGTGCAGGCTACTCTCCCAGGGTCAGGGCTGTCATCCCCACTGGGAGCCTCCATCCCACCCCATTCCAGCAAGGCCAAGGGCACCTCCCTGACAGGTGAGGCCAGGGTGAGATTCCTCAGTGCTGCCGGCAACCCTGGGGTGGCAGGGGTGAGCCAGGGGCTGTGGGGCAGGGCCAGTGAGAGGCAGAGGGATCCAGCCACAGCCACAGGACCCTCTGTGGTACTCTGCACCTTGAAGGTGAGCCATGGGTGCTTTAAAAACTTACTATTACTCTTTTTAAAGAGAAAACCATTAATACCTCAAAGTATATCTCCTTGCCTCAAAAAACATGAAATAAACCCATTATCCCTGCCCTGGGCAAAAAAATTGGGGTGAGGGCAGGCATTTGACACAAAGCCTGACAATGCCCAACCATCTGGGGAAGGATGCAGGGACTTGCGAGCTGCTGGGTCCCCTTGGCAGGAAGGAAAGAGGAATCTAACTTTTCACTGTTTATGCTGCTAGCTCTTCACTATATTACGCGTTTATAACCAAACGGATATATTAGTTCTTAATTATAAAAAAAGAAACAAACACAGCTGGGCCCAGGACTTTGCCTCAACCAGGAAACAGCTCGGTTCTGCAGTCCCAGCCCTCGGGCCTCCCAGGCTAGATGTCCAAGAGAGGGCGATGGGACATCACACCTCCCTCTACAAGAGCAGAAAGGTTCTTGGTTCGTCCAGGCCACAGCCCCCCCACATTGCAGCACACCCCTCCCCAAGAAATGAGAGGGGTGAGGAGCACAAGGTTCTGGGGATGAACCAGGCAGGTGCTGTCTAGTGTCAACAAACACCACTGGAAATTTCCGTGGCAGGAAACAAACACCCATCACGTGTAAACGCTACAGAAAACTGTCTGCCCTCTAACATCTTATGAAATAGAAGTTTTTGAGCAAACTGATTCAACATTACATTTCACACAATGCTGACACTGGCCAGTGAATGTAAGTGACACCATGAAGCTTTGAAAACCAGCGATCAAGGCGTGGTGGGCAGTGGAGGAGCCCAATCGCTGCCCCAAGGCAGAGGTGGTCAGGGGACATGAGAGAACAAGGCACTAGTGACTGTTGAGAGCCGCTGGGGCTTGGGAGTACGGAGCACGACTCTCCAAAAACAAATGTGGGCTGGAGAAGACCCCACAAGTCATCTATCTGACCTGGGATTCGCATCCAGGACATTTAGAGAACTCTTACGATTCAATAATAAAAAACAAGTAACCCAATTAAGAATCTGAAAAGACATTTCTCCAAAGATAGACAGATAACCAACAGCACGTGAGAAGATGCTCATTATTAGCTGTCAGGGAAATGCAAATGGAAACCACAGTGAGATGCCACCTCACACCCATGAGGATGGCAATAGTCAAAGAAAGAGAAAACAGCAAGTGTTGTCACAGACACCTTCTCTTTGGGAGAGAAGTCAGAATGCTCACACATTACTGGGGGATGTACAGTGGTGTAGCCCCTGTGGGAAACAGCTGGAACTCCTCAAGAAGTTACATGCAGACTTAACGTATGACCCAGGACTTCCACTTCTAGATAAGTGCCCAAGAGAAGCGAAAGCATGCTTGCACACAGAAACTCGTACGAAAAGTTCATAGCAGCATCATTCACACTCAGCAAAAGGTGGATGGGCCGGCCCGGTGGCACACTGGAGAGTGCGTCGCTTGGGAGCACGGCGGCGCTCCCGCAGAGGGTTCGGATCCCATGTGGAGATTGGTTCCCGCTCACTGGCTGAGCGCGGTGCGGGCACAACACCAAGGGTTGCAATCCCATTGCCGGTCCCCCCCGGTACGGGCGCGACACCGAGGGTTGCGATCCCGTTACCGGTCAGTAAAAAAGACAAAAAGGAAAAAAAAAAAAAGGTGGAAACAATGCCAATGCCCAAAGACCAATGAGCGGACACACAGCACCAGTCCATCCACCCTACAGGACGTCACTCAGCCACAGAAAGGAAGGGAGCGCCAGCACACGCCATGACATGGAGGGACCTAGGAAACACGATTCTGAGTGAATGACCCAGACACAAAAGGTCACAAATTGTGGGCTGGCCCATGGCTCACTTGGGAGAGTGTGGTGCTGACAACACCAAGTCAAGGGTTAAGATCCCCTTACCGGTCATCTTAAAAAAAAAAAAAAAAAAGGTCACAACTAGTGTGATTCCATTCACATGAAATGTGCAGAACAGGCAAACCCATAGAGACAGAAAACAGATTGGTGGCTGCCAGAGGCCAAGGGGAAATGAGGAGTGACCGCTAATGGGCACGGATTTCTTCTGGGGTGACAAGGACGTTCTGAAATCGGCTGGTGAGGGCTGTACAGCTCTGTGAACACACTGAAAACCACTGAATTGTTCACTGTAAGTGGGTCAGTTGTACGGTATGTGAACTATACCTCAAGCTGTTAAAAAAAATCAGCATGGCTGTGGAACGGAAACAGATGGTCGCCTTTCCCTCTTAGCTGCAGTTGCGGAAGCCGAAGGGAGGTGCTGCCAGGACAGGACATGGATCCGGCCCTGCCACAGGCAGCGTCTGCATGGACTGGCTCCAGCCAGGGCGCAGGACAGGGCCTCATCCTCTGCTCCTTACAGGCCTCCCTCCCTGTCCCTGCTGTAACTGGGAGAGTCATATCATCCAGGCTGCCTGCAGGAACCGCCACACTCTCTATGGCCTCAGGGAGAGCCTGGGTCTCCCAGGAAAGGCATCCCCGAAGAACAGACGCCAACAAGATGCACCAGGTAGCCAGAAGCTCAGGTGGGCAGAAGCAGGTGGTCACTACGCACGCTGCAGGGGCCCACTGCACAGAGCACCCACCTGAAGGATGAGCAGCAGCCCCAGGACCGCAGTCTTCACATCTTCCAAGGAAGCCGAGTAGGCGGCCACGTCCTTTTCCTCCAGCTCGGGGGGTGGAGAGAGTGAGCGGGCCATCACCTTCAAAGAGACCAGCGTTAAGCCCTGGCCCATGGCTCCCTGAGGCATACCTAACATTCTCCACCGCAAATATGTCCTCCTTCATGTCTCAAAAGGAAAGATGCTCTTTATGCACCATTCAGAAACCACAATGTGTTTCAAAATTAACAGGACAAGACACTGGCTATGTGGAGAGAACATCGGGCCCAAGCCCCAACTCCTGGAGCAGCAGGACCTCCAGGCAGAACACAGGTGATCAGCAGCAGCTGATCCCGACACCACTCATCTTTGCTGGAAGGGGAGCCCCACTGGTGGAGATGGCCACCCAGTCGCTGAGACTGGGATGGAGGGTCCACAGGATGTTTCTTCCCACAGGGCTTTGCCCGGAGGTCCCTCTGGCCCCCGGCCTGCAAGTGCACTCACTTTCTCAATGATGTCCAGTAGGCTGTTGAAGTGGTGGGTGTGGCAGCCCTCTGCCAGGTCCACCAGCAGCTGCGTGGCCAGCTTCCGCACTTGGTGGTCCTTATCCTCAGGGATGTGGGAGAGCTGCGAGATCACCACCGAGTTGATCAGCTCCTCCTACACCAGGTGCAAATGAGAGTGAACAGATTGAAAACCACAGAACTGTTCACTGTAAATGGGTGAATTGTAGAATATGTGAATTACAGCTCAAGCTATTAAAACAAACGGCCGTGAGGCGGGCGCAGATGGCCGCTGCCGTGAGTGCCCCTGACATGCACCCACCTCATAGAACTGCCTGTTGATAAGCAGCACGAAGGACAGGATGTCCAGCACCTTGATGCGCACTGCACTGCGGGACTCGTTCCTGGGGGCGGGAGCAGCCTGCTGGGGCTGGCGCGAGGGACCTCTGCCCCGCAGCAGACCCCACTGGGCCCAGCCTGACTCTGGATTCTCCCCTGCAGGCCCCAGCTCATCAACATCCAGACCGAGACCCTGGCGAAGGGACAAAGAGAGCCCCGCCCTCCAAGATGCCACACCACACACCAAGTGGGAAGAAGTAGCCCACCAGCCTCACCACAGGACCTTGTCCTGTTCGCTGAGAATGTGGTTTTCAGAATCTGCCAGGAAAGCCCTGGCTCATCAGGTGTCCTGAGACCCAGGCCCCAGGCGGGGCCCACAAGAGCAGAGACAGCCACAGGTGGGGCCCAGAGACCCTACTACCTGAAGAACCTCTCCATCAACAGCTGCAGGTTCTGAATCCAGCCATCCTTTGCCGGGTGAATTGACTGGGCTCTGTAGGATATTAAGTTCAAGAGGGAGGATTCCTGTCAAAAGAAGGAAAGGCTGGTGTCCGTGAGCCGCCTTGCCTTTTGGAGGGTGTCATACACACATGCTGCCAGCTGTGGAGCCAAGACAGCTTGCTTGGCTAGAGTGGCCGCCTCGAAGCCCAGGTGGAAGCCCATGGGGACAAGGCACTCCTGGCAAACGAAGCATGCACGTAAAAACCACTTAAAAGGCGTGACATCAAGCTGAGTGTTCCTGGCAAAGTGACTACTGTGCCCTAGAGCAACAAGTCTCCGTGAAGCCACCCATAACCTTTCTCCACACAGGTGGGAAGAAAGTGGTAGTCAGGCTGGTGCTCTCTTAGCAGAGCCACACACCTCCAGCTTGCTGATGCGGCAGCCCTCCCTGCTGAAGCCCTGAGCCCAGGAGAGCAGGAGCCCACAGACCCTTTGCTTCAAACTCCAGGAAAAGTGGCTTAACCCCCACAGGTGGGTCCCCCGGAGCACGGCCCCTCCCCTCACAGCCTGACCAAAAGCACCCTCTTGGCCCGAGCACCAAAAGCCCCACCGGGAGGGGGTCTCACAGGCCTCTGGTCTGCGCATCTCTCCACCAGCTCAAAGTATCTCTCCTGGGAGCCGTGGAACTCATTCTGGTCACACAGCTCCTCCACCGTGGTCAGCAGGTCGTGGACAATGGTCCTGAGCTCCGGGCTGTCCAGACTCTGCAGAACCAAGTGCCATGACACAAGACTGACTTCTGCTCCCCCGAGGGACTTGGCATTGGAGTCCTCAGCTGGAGACGAGCTGCATTTGGACAGCCCCCAGACCCTCCTGCTGGGTCTCACTGGGACATGCCGGCAGCTGGCTGTCCCAGCCTATTCCCCACCCTTAGGGAATCCTGGCTGGCCCATGGAGCCAGGCCTAGAAGAGAGAGGGGGCAGAATGGCTGAGTGTCTGAAACTAGGAGCCCTTTCACGTCTCCCCAGGTGCCAGCAGCTTCTGAAGGCCCTTGGGTGTAGCCTTTGGCCCCTGCCACTCCAGGCTGAAGCACTGCCTGGCCAGGGATTGGCATTGGTCTGGCCTAGAACCCAGGCCCTAACGAGACTAGACTTCAGGGCTGGTGGGTTTCTCAGGTGGTAGAATGCAGTGTCCTAGCACCAAGATCAGGGGATTGGATCCCCATATCGGCCAGCCGCCCCTCCCCCCAAAAGAAAGATCAGACTTCAGTTCCTACTGAGTCCTAGCCCTTCCTTCCACTGATGTGACCACTGTACATCGCCCACCCCAGGCCTGGGAGGCGGCATAGCCCTGAGCCCATGCTAGATGCTGACTACATCTTCGATCAGCACAGCGTGTAGCCACAACATCCTCCTCAGCACCATGGTCAACAGACTTAACTAATGTGGACTTCCAAAGTCAGGCTAAAGCTGCAGCCAGCATTCCAGATGCTCTGGGAACGGCCTTCAGGGTGCACTCAGGCCATGATGGTGGCCTGCGCTGCTCTGTCCACATTGAGCAACTCCAGCCCAGCCCCCACTCCCTCACTGCATACTCCTGTTTGGGGCCAAAATGATGGAGCACATTTGGAAATTCAGTGGAAGATGGCTGGCACCTTTGAGAACCATCAGAGAACGCGGCAGCCTCTGAGACACCCCCCAGATGGGGCAAAAGCTCAGGGCACCATCCTCGGGGTGGAGCAGCCTGCCCGTCTGGCCCTGGCCATCACTCCTGCCTCACCTGGAGCTGCTGCAACAGCCTATGGATGATGTTCAGCAGGATGTCCCACGTCACCGCCTGGAGCTCCTTCCTATACTTCTTGATGAGTCTGGTGATGGACAGGACGATCTCATAGGACACCACCTCGTTCGGACAGGTCATGGCCTGGAACACGTGGCCCGGGAGCACACAGGGTCAGCGGCTTCTCACTCCCGTACACAAAGCCCCCTCCCATGCCACCCCTAGAACTGAGTGTGAGATGTGCGAGTGGGCCATGCTCGCCACGCATCCATCATGGGCCACAGAGGCAGCATGTAAAGAGTCCAGGGGGCGTTTTCTCCACTGCTCTATAACAGTCAGGACCCAGAGAGGGCCTGAAGCCTGCCTCCAAACATCCTGCCTCAGACGGACTGGCAACTTGGAATTCTGGGCCCCAGCGTCCCAGCACGGCAGAGCCTGAAGTCTATCGCCTAAGTTCCAACACAAGCAACGCACAAAGACCACCCTTCCACCACACGGAGAGAAGAGGGTGTGGCAGGAGGTCCTACATGACCTAGGGTGGGACGCGGCCTGTCCGAGCTGCTCTGCACTGTGAAGTGAGGACACTGTGCTCACCCTGCTCACCAGGGGCCGTGAGGACTACACGGGACACACACAGGAAGTGCTCTGGATGCCACAGGGCACTATGGAAGCAAGCCAGTCACCAGAACCACTCTGGGGAGCCAGCAAGATTGCCACTTGCCCAAACAGACCGTCAACAGCCACAGGATCGCTAACCCAGGGGCATGCTGAGCAGTTTGTTCCAGTGCTAATTTGCAGGAGAAGAAATTCACAAGAAATAATACTTGCTTGAGAACAAGACCTTCGAAAGGCCCCAAGGTGCATCCCCCGATGATGAGCAACTTACTGGGAACGCCGCCTCAGCCCTACAGTGGAAGCCCAGTCGGGCAAGCGGGTGGCCCGAGGGAGGTCGCCCATCCCTGACAGCTCGCTGTGGCACAGAAACCGCGTTACCTCATAAAACGACGGTAACACAGACGTCGGGGAGTTCTTGAGAGAATAGAGTCGGTGGGCACCCCAGAGAGCCATGCCCACAAAGAACACGGCTCCTCTCAGCAGCGGGGCGTCTTCCATGTAGGCTCTGCAAGCATTCCCGACAGACAGAACATAAGCAGAGCCCCAGCTTGGTGCTGCCCATGCACATGTGATGCAGCGTCAAGGTCCAAGGTGGCCCTGGGCTCCTGGCAGCCCCTTAGAGGTCCCTGCACTCAACGGACAGAAGGGAAGATGGGGAAGGGTTTAGGAGGGGCAGGGAACACAGAGGCCAGCATCCGATGAGTCCACACAACTAGTCACTACTGACCATGCTAGATGCCAGGGATAGGAAGGAGAGTGGGAGATGGCCCTTGGCCTCATGGTGCTTACAGTCTAGCTGGAGACACAGACGTCAGTCAGCTAAGAAGGATAGCCATGGCATAGGAGAGCAAAACCTTCTCGGGGGATCAGGGAACATATGCCATGCTAAGATTTCAGGGAACACTCAGAGTAACCCAGCAAAGGCCGTGTATTCTAGCAAGAGGAAATGGTGTATGCAAGGACCCTTGGTGGCTGGGAGAATGGCAAGACAGAGGGAATGAGAGGCCTACGGGGCTGCGGCAGGGCCTTGTTCCATGGTGAGACCTGTGTCAGGAAAAGAGCCCTGAGCTGCTGTATGAAGGAGGCGAGGGCTGACAGGCAGGGCTGGGCATGGACAGGGTGAGCCAGCTCTTGGGCAGAAGCAACGCGACACGTAAAGGTTTGGCTATGGGGGTGAGGTCCGGATTCACACCTTGAGAATGGCCTTGTAATGGAATAAATACTGAGGGAGCCACACTGGTGGACATCCAAGCATAGGGAGGCAGGTTCCAAGTTCAGTTTTGGATCTTCTGGACTTATTAACAGAAGAGAACAGGAGATAGTATGCACAGGGTCTGTGCCTAGGTTTAGTGAAAGTTTCTGGAAGAGCCACCCAAAGGGAACAGGAAATCCCCAAGTTAGTCCACGCCAGGCAAGAGCCAACACAGAGCCTCCTCCTGAGGGAGGGCTCATGGCCGACTCGCTCTGCCCTGCCACACTCGCCTGTCCTCCATGATGCGGCACATGTTGTAGATGGCGCTGTGGCCCAGGTGGGTGCCCAGGAGGTTACGCATCAGCTGCGAGATAAAATGCACATCGTTAGGGATTGGAGATCCCAGCCCCACACTCCTGGCCCCTCTGCCAGCCCTGCACACACACTGCCTCCTCCCAAACGCAGAGGCAGCAGAGCTCCAAAGGCCACCAAAACCCTGACCTCAGCTCAACTGCCTGGGAAAACGCCTCTGGACTCCCCTCGACAGGCCATTGTCTGGCCGCCCCAAGAAATCAGACAGCCATTCACTGCAGACAAGAGGGCCTTTGTCCTGTGTGTGTGCCTCCCAGGACCTCATTCTGGGGAAGAACTTTCCAGACAACAGTTTCAGAGACCCCACCTTCCAGCAGGGCTCACAGAGCTCCTTGACGTTGACCGTGCGGCACAGGGTGACAATGAACAGTGGCAGGCTCTCGGCCGGCAGGCAATTGTAGCAGACCACAGCGTCCAGCACCTGCAAGGAGACCTGCAGGAGGAGAAGAGGGGTCGCACAGGCCCTCCCCCCCACGATTCCACCATGGTAGGTGACACCCAAGGCTTCCTTCCTGCCCTCCTTCAGTCAGTGACCATGACCACTGACTGACAAAGCAGCCTCCCTCAGAATCACAGAGCAGGTGACTGTAGCTGGAAGGCACCTAACATCCCAGCTGCTGTGGGTCACCACCACTATGCCACCCATCCAGAACTACACTCCTCAACAAAAGCCACCAACTGTCCCCACTTACAGTCGAGGCTCAGAGAAGCCAAGCAGCTTGCCTAAGGCCACACAGCCAGTGAGTGGTACGTGAGGCTTGACCCCGAGTCCCCACCTCCCAGAAAGAGGATGGAATAATCCGTCCCCCCAGGAGGGTAATCACTAACCTCTATGTCCACAGAGGACATGGTCCGGATACACAGCAGGCAGATCATGCTGCAGGGGAAGCACCAGTCAGTTCAGAGGCCACGTCCCCAAAGGCCAAGCAACTGCGTTTTATTTTTTGGCCACCCTACGAAGTCACTTACATGAGGGGCTCATCCTTCCTAGGGTTCTGCTCACCCAGCAGACATTCAGGCGCCTGCTCTGCACTAACCACTGTTCTTAGTGCTGGTTACTTAGCATGACTGAGACAAAGACCCTGCCCTCACAGACTTCACAGAATGTTTTGGAAAAACAGTGACAAAAAGATAATCAGTAAAACATCAGGGAATGTAAGTAAAAGGTGGCTACGTCCGCTTCCAGCTTCTCCCTTTACCTGACGGTTCAACAGCTTTACCCAAGACTGGGACTACTGTCAGAGTAACATAGTTTAAATTCTTTTCTTACTGAACCATGGAGGCGATGTATTCGTCGAGGTAACAGCTATTGAATTTGACCAAGTTCACAAGCACCAGAAGGAATTCTGAGGACAAGCCGACATCCATCCACTGCAGGACAAACTCGGCTGGGGAAGAAGAAGACAGCAGTTTGTGCAGCAGCCAAAGCTGCACTTCCTACTCACCTCCTCCCGCAGGACTGTGTGTCCCGACCCCGCTACAGCTGCAAATCACACTGTCAATCCCCTCACGATGGCAGGCAGGCCACGTGCTGGGCTGACCAGTCGAGCAGTCAGCCATGCAGGGACACTGGGATTCACCAGCTCCTGGCTGCAAGGGGGTCTGAGCTAAGATGGCAGTAGGAGTGTGTGAGCATTCTACACTCAGAGCCTGGCCCTGGCAATGGGGGCATGAATGTCACCAGTGTCCCCCACCCCACAGAGAGAGGAGTCTTGAAGAAACTGCACGCACATGCTTGGCTGCTGCCACACAGCGTTAGACAGAAAATCTGACAGCGGAATCCCCGTCAGCACCTGTCCTGGGGGCAGACTAAGCACCGAGGCCCCATTCTGGGCGACACTACAGCAAAGCCCAAGTCAGATGTCCCTCCTCCTCCCTCCTCTTCTCCCCACAACATAGAAAAAAAGTCTCGAGACTAACTGAAACCTCACACTGTAAGGAGGCAGAAGGAAGGTCAGCGGGGAAGCAAGGGGGACTCAGACCCAGCACAGAGGGCAAGAGGACACGACCAGGTCACTCTGGATGAAGCCAGGCCAGCAGCACCATCCCCAGTGACAGAACTCAGCCCACCCCAGCCCACTTCAGGGACATGTTTCTAGGTCCCACTCCCCTGGGACTCAGAGTCTGGAGTGCAGCCCAGGACTTTGCATTTTAAGAAGCTCCCCGGGAGATGCGGCCACATCCAGATGAGCAGAGCGCATGGTGCCGCGCCCCCTGCAGGCCACCCTGTGAGCTGCAGCACCCCTAGACCCCAGGTCCTTCGCATCCCTGATTCAATATCTGATCACCAAGGCAGCAAAACCTTACACTGATGTGGCACCCACCCAGTTCTTCTTCTAGGTAGGTGATATGTCTCCCATTGTCCGTGAGGGCCTTGAAAACTTCCAGCCTTTCGTGGAGGTCTTCATTGGAGGGGTAATCCTTGATGACTTTAAAGAAGAGGGCTCTGAGGACCCCCAGGCGGTCACCCTGTGGACAAAACCATGTGGTCAGCAGAGTCCTACCAGGGTCCCCCACGTGTTTCCAGGAAGTCCAAGTGCAGTGGCACCTGGACTCTGGCCCTGAGCCCCCTCTCCTTCCCACAGGAACACCCTTGAGGGGCAGGTCAGCAAGGTCTGGGGGGATCAGGGCAGGGAGCCCAATGCATGGTCAGCAGCTGGCCGGCAGCACCTGCTCTGGGCACGGTGGGGAACACACAGCAGAGGACGATGCAGTTCCTGCCCCCCCCCCAAATCTCTGCCCAGGGTAGACACGTTGTGCTCACATGATGATGACAAGGTCTAAGGGTGGTGAAGCCCCAGGATAAGTTCCATGACAGGGGACAGGCCTCCCCTCTGAGTGGGGACATGAAAACTGAAGTGGCCAAGTGGGGAAGAGTGCCTTCCCACAGGAATGGGAAGAAGTGACTTGGCTGTGCGTTGGGGAGCAGGGGCTCCGGCTGGCTGAGCGGAAAGGGCAGCAGGAGCGAGATAACAATGGCCCGTGCTAGGCACTGTTCAACAATCTGCCCGAATCACCACATTTAATCCCCAAAACATCCCAGAGGAAGAAGGCATGATGACCATCCCCATTCACAGGCCAGGAGGTGGAGGCTCAGGCAGCTCCAGGACTTGGTTGGGGCCACAGAGATGTGAGGGGTGATGCCAGGATGCCCACGGGGGCAGTCTACCCCACAGCCCCTGTTAACCACCGGACCCTGTACCTGATGCCTTCACCAAAGATGAGTGTCCAGTCACAGCACAGCAGGGGCAGGACAGTCATTGGGCAGCCTGATGTCAGCCCACAGACCCCGTCTCGGCACAGAACCACCCGCCCCTTACCTGCCCCTGCACAATGGCCTTCAGCAGAGCCAGCACTGCGTGCCGGGCCTCTGGCGGCCGCTCCGGCTGCAGCAAGTCTGCGACGGCCTTCCAGAGTGCTTCCACGGCATGCTGCCACGAGCAAAGAGGGGACAGTGATAACAGTGTGGCCTCCAAGAACCTTGACCCCATCAACATGAGGACAGTACCATGAGCAAGAGACAGAGCAGAACAACAGGATCTTTGGACTTAAAACTCGCTCCTCTAAAGCTCATGTCTTCTATGCCCCCCACAGCCCAAGATGTCCACAGGCCTGATAAGGCAAAAGGCTCAAAGCTACTTCAAACCCAAGCAGGTCCCCTCCATCCTCACCAGGCCATAGGCTGGGGGGAGGGAGGCAGCAGCCAGGCCAAGGAACTGTCCTGGCTTCCCTGGACTGGCAGGGGGATTCCTTTAGAGCTGCTCGGATTCTGGTTGGGAAAGTCACAGGAAGTCTCAGAACCAGAAGCTCACGGTTGGCCCAATGCTAAACCTGACCCAGAAATCCTGTTCCCTGGTTTTCTTCTGTGTGAACACGCCTGCTGCAGGCCACTCAGCACCACAGCCTGTCCTTCCTCTGCTAAGAACTCAGTGATGCCTTCTGAAATCTGCCTCCTCTAACTCCTGCCCATGTGGGAGTGGAGAGAGTTTCATTCCTGCTGCCTAGGGCTGCCCAGAATCAGTCTCGCTCTGCAAGCATTTGAGCCAGCTCTCATGTCACCTTCCCCGCTCCACATTACCCATCCCCTACTCCCTTCAGCCAGAGTTCTCAGACCACTCACCCTTTCCTGGGCTTACTCCTCTTAGAGGGGGACTAAAATGGCTGTGGTCTTTTAGATGTTTTCTGACCAACATCCTAACCAACGCAGGACACACTGGAATGCTCACCTCCTTTGCCCCACTCACAATACTCCTATTGATGCAACCTGAGCTGCAACAACACCCAGACACTGAGCCTATGGACCACCACAGCCTTTTAAGCCTATTCGTTTACTTGCATAACGTTCTGTACCTACGTGAGTAACTTTCTGAGTGTCGATGCCAGTTTTTTACATTTATCCTTGGTAATGGGCAGCTTGCATGTTTCAGGTGAACTGCTGGAGATGTAGTGGTGGCACCCCCTTCGCAGATCTGAGTCTGTGAGGTGTGAGGTCCAGGTCTCCTTCCGAGTCTCAAATGCACAAACACTGGGCACAGCTAGAGCAGAACCCTCAGGTGCTCTCTACCAGCAACCCTGAACCCCCAGAATGACAACTTCCCATTCTGTCCACGGGGATGTCAAGAGAGAGTTTGGAAATATTTGCCCCAAATAAATATGCCTATGTCTATGAGATTGCCTGATACTACCAACCAATCACCTCTCCCAAAAAAGCACAAAGACTAGTGTGCCTTGATTGTTCTCAGTGAAATTACACCCTTTCCTGACATTCCTTTATTTTCCCTTTCTCCAAGTTTGAAACACAAGAGGACAAGTAAACATGCCACTACAGACTCTTTCTGGGCTCTGCTAGAAAGTCCTAATCCCATTGCTCTCCACCCCCACACACAAATGGTCCCTCAAGGCTGTACTCAGGGCATTTCCACACGCTTCTCCATCACAGAGATGAAAGTTAAATTTCCCTAAAATAGTGCCAATCAGATTATCAGCACAGTTAGCTGTCAACCACACTCCTAGAAAAAGCAAACTCAGGCTCCTAAACAGCCTACGTGCATCTCTACAGTAAGCCAAACTAAGACAACTCACCTCTTCAAACTTCTTAGTTTTTGCGACTTCACAGATCTGCCCTATCACCCGGATGCGATTGTTGAGGCCACTTTCAACACTCAGTTCCTAGAGAAAGATGAAAGGAGAAAAAGGGGTTGGCACTCAAGCACCAGGTTTTCTTAACTGGTAATCCCATCCACCCTACAACTGCACAGGCCAAGCATCCCTAATCCAAAAATCCAAAATGCTCCAAAATCCGAAACTTTTTGAGCACTGGCATGACACCACAAGTGGAAAGCTCCACACCTGAACTTGTGATGGGTCACAGTTAAAACTTTGGGCTTTTTTGTTTTTGTGACAGCTGGCCAGTATGGGGATCTGAACCCTTGACCTTGGTGTTATAAAACAAAACTTTATTTTATGCACAAAATTACTAAAAATATTAAATTACCTTCAGGCTATGTGTATAAGGTGTGTATGAAACTTAAATAAATTTCGTGTTTAGACTTGGGTTGCAGCTCCAAGATATCTCATTAAGTATATTAAAATGTTCCAAAACCTGAAAAAATGTGAAATTGGGAACACATTTGGTCTCAAGCATTTTGGATAAGCGACACTCAACCTGTACTGTATTTTTGACTGGAGACTTGTAGCAGTGTGGAGGATTAGAAATATTGATTCTCATTTGATTTTAGAATAGTGCTTTTAGGTAAACGCATATATAGTGCAAAAGCCCTCGGACAGGAGACCAAAGTCTACAGATAGAGGGCAAAAGCCTATTTAATCAATTCTAATTAAATAAAGTTGATTCTCATTTGATTTTTAGAGTAGGGTTTTTAGGTAAATACATATTGCAGCAAAAAGCCCTTGTTTAGGGGGCCACGGCCTGCAGATAGCCAGGCCACAGCCCATCTATAATCACTGCTTAGGTATGGGATTGTATACTTTAATGATTTCAGTGCTAACAGGTGGTTGCCATACCGATATTTTAAGAACCGCTGAAGGAAAAGGTGTGAAAAAAATATTTGCTAAGGGCAAGATGTCTGTTGGGAGAAACTTTAGAAATAATTGTACTTAGATTTTATCATTAGAATGTAACTTTTGCTTAAGGAGAGGTTATACTTTAGATAATGAGCCAGTTTGACCAACTTAGCTTTTCACTAATTGTACTTTGGAATGTCACATTGTTAATTTTACTGATATTACTAGTTTCCATTGCTTAAGCTATACTTAGCCATAGATAACTTTTGTTAACACTGCCCATGTCCTTGTGTCCTTTCGGAAGGATTGAATCAACTGAATTTTCTTGTGAAACTTCATTGTCTTTGCAATAAAGAATAGAAGCTAACTTTGAATGGTCAGAAGACCCTTTGGGCTTCTCAGCGCATTCATGGTGCTTTGAGTAATCCTTTTCTTTGTCTCCGTTACACAGTGAGAAGTGTAACATAGTAGATCTTTCTGACCTTAGAATTCACTAAAAAGCTTAGCACTCTACCTCAGTGGATTAGAATGGGCAACTTTTTTACAAGACTGCAATTTTTTTTTTTTTTTTTTTTTTTGTCTTTTGTCTTTTTCCGTGTCCGGCAACGGATCGCAACCCTCAGTGTTGCCCCCGTACCGGACCGGGGACCGGCAACGGGATTGCAACCCTCGGCATTGCTCCCGCGCCTCGCTCAGCCAGTGAGCGGGAACCGGTCTGTACGTGGGATCCGAACCCTCGGGCGGGAGCGCTGCCGCACTTCCCAAGCGGCGCACTATCCCGTGCGCCCCCCGGCCGGCCCAAGACTGCAATTTTTTTTTTTTTTTTTTTTTTGTCTTTTGTCTTTTTCCGTGTCCGGCAACGGATCGCAACCCTCAGTGTTGCCCCCGTACCGGACCGGGGACCGGCAACGGGATTGCAACCCTCGGCATTGCTCCCGCGCCTCGCTCAGCCAGTGAGCGGGAACCGGTCTGTACGTGGGATCCGAACCCTCGGGCGGGAGCGCTGCCGCACTTCCCAAGCGGCGCACTATCCAGTGCGCCACCGGGCCGGCCCAAGACTGCAATTTTTTGAGATAAAACTCCTATAACATAAAATACACCATTGTGACAGTTTTAAGCTGTACAATTAACTTTTAAGTATATTCACAATACCTATAACTATCTTCACTAATTCCAGAACATTTTCATCACCCCAAAAGGAAATCCCATACCAATTCCTTCCTGCTCCCCAGCCCCTGGCAAACAATAATCTACCTTCTGTCTCTATGGATTTGCCTATTCTGAACATTTCACATAATCAGAATTATATACTATGTGACCTTCTGTGTCTGGCTTCTTCCTCTCAGCATGTCTCCAACGTTCATCCATGATGTAATACGCATCAGCACTGCATTCCTCTTTATTGCCGTACCACACCCCATTGTATAAACGTACAATTATACATCCATTCATCCGTTGATGAGTGTTTTGGTTTTTTCTTAGTGGGAAACTTCACAAGTGCAAAAATCTAACATTTACTTATGGGCAAAACATGGTGCTAGGCATGTGTTAGGGGGATTCAAACACATACACAAAAATAAGGACCCATTTCTCCCAGGAACTCACAAATTACCAGTTAACATCTGGCCATATCCCTAGCTACCCGTGGAGATGACAGCATTCAATCCGCGGCTAGTAAAACGGGTTTTCTTGCATCGACATTTGAACATTAACTCAAGTGTGCTGGGCCAGGTCACCAAGATCCTTTACTTTCTGGACGTATACACCTGTACAGTACTGGTAACAGCAGCCCTGTGCAGACGGTCAGCAGCAACCCACCCCCCACAGGACCTGGTGACAGACCAAACCCAGCCTTCCTTGCATTTCCCACTGGGCTAGCGAAGACACACAGAGCTCACTCACTCTCAGGATTTCCGCCGTGATGATAAACTCCGTCTGTTTGCCCTCTGCAGACCTGGGGTTCGGCCTTGGTGTTCCCAGTCCCAACAGAATCTTGAACTTCTCCTTCAAGCCTGAATCTTTGTTTGTTGGCTTGGCCATGATGGACAGGGACGCAACAGAGGTCCCCTCTGTGCAGAGGAAACAGGCACGGAGACACCTGAGGACCAGCTCCGCCCGCACGTCGGGTCTCTGGTGGGCACGACCTTTCCTCTCACGGCCCCCGCGGCCAACGCAACCACAGCCAGGCTGACCGGCACCAGACACGCCTGGGCGACGCCAGGCCTGGTCTAGCGAGCCGCCTGCTTAGACACGGCCGCCCGCCAGACTCAGTGCACGGGATGCGGGGCCGCCGCAGGGTCCCGGGCGCCCCGACGTGCGCCACCTCTCTTTTCCCCTCGTGGAGGAAGAGCTGTCGCGGAACGCCTGAAGCTGACACCCGCTAGCGCCGGGTCGGGCTGCGGTGGGCACGGCCAGGTCCGGAGCCCGGACACTTGCGGGGCCGCCTCCCCCGCTGCCCCGCAGGGCCGGCCACACCGCGGTCCGGGTCGCCGTAGGCGGTCGGGGAACCGCTAGCCACTCACCCGCCGCCGCCCCGACGCAGAGAAAGGGTACACCACCGGCCCCAAGCTGCCGCCGGAAGTGCAGCCGGCACTTCCGGCAGCGGGACGACACCAAGAGCCCCGCGGGGGCCGCTGGGAGTCCTAGTTCCGGGCCAGGCGCTGGTCACGTGGCGGCGCCGCGGGGGCCGCCGGGATGTGTAGTCCGCGGGAGTCCGGCATGAACACGTTGCGCGTGGCCAGGGTGACTCGCAGCAGGAGCCGGGGACCGCGGGCCGGGTCGCGGGGGCGCGGGGAGGATCCCGTGCCACTCCGGAGGGCAGAGGCGGCTGCAGGTAGCGCCGCGCCCGGCCCAGAGCTTGGGCGAAGGGGCGGGGCTGGATGGGACCGGGAGGTGGCTACCGCGAAGGATCCCCGGCCTCACGTGCGGCCCCGCGTTCCCACCCTGGGCCCTTTTCCCAGAGGCTGGAGTCCACAGGGGCTGGGTGCCAAGGGACCCTCGACCTGAGCATGAAAGTCCTTCCCGCCCCAGCAGCCTGCCTGAGAGGCTGCACTCGCGCCGCGCTGCCTGTGCGGAGACTGCCCGATCCTCGTGGCTGCTTCCTCCGCAGTGGCCAGGTGCCAGGGACACTCCCAGCCCCAAGTCTCTTCCCCCAGCTAGACGGTGCCTCTGAGAGAAAACAGGAAAGGGCGTGGCATTCATGTTTACATTGTGGCCACTAAGGACTAGTGTGTGCCAAGCGTAGGACTCAGCAGGGCCTCTGCACTTGTCCCGCCGGGACTTGTGCAGAATTGGCCAGAAGGGGATTCCCACGAGCACCCGAGGAGCCCAAGGGGAGTCCAGACAAAGAGCCTCCCTGGGGCAGTGAGAAGTAGACAGGGGACCGTGCCAGCCAGGGTGGCCCGAGCTTTGACACTAGGAGAGAGTGTGGACTTCATTATGAGTGCAAAGGAGTGTCGGTGAGCAGTTGTTAAAAGGGAGGGGCCACAGTGCAATCTGGGCGTTAGAACCTGTCTCTGATACAGCACAGAGGATAGTTGGGGGCATCACAGTAGAGGCTGTTACTAGAGCCCTTGTGTGCGAAGGTGGACTTGGAGGGTAGCAGCTTCCGCACGCCCCTGAGTTTTGGGGCCAGAGCACCCCTCACGTGGTAGATGGACAGCATTGTGTGAATGTGTGAGGGGAAGTAGTAGGAGGGCAGCACCTGTAACTTCCCTCACCTGTGGCCCTCGCTAAAGGACCTGAGTGGCACTTTTTGCAGAAGGAAGGAAAGGCCACAGCCCTGTGAAGGGTCAGCGGAAGACACAGAGACTGCATGTGGCCTATGAGGCTTCAGATGGTGAGAAAGATGAGAGCACCAAGCCCCTCAAAGTGCCGGTCTGGGAGCCCCAGGACTGGCAGCAGCAGCTGGCCAATATCCGTGCCATGAGGAGCAGAAAGGACGCACCTGTGGACCAGCTGGGGGTCGAGCACTGCTATGACCTCCATGCCCCCCCGAAGGTAGGCAGGGGCCCCATCTTTCAGGGTGATCCCCCCCAACAAGACACTTGCTTCCTCTCAGGCCTCCGGCAGGGGACAGCCTAAGACCGGGTGGCTCGTGGCTGGCACCCTCTTCCACCAGCTGCACCTCGAGAGGATGCACACCTGGTGCCCCAGAGCACTGGGCAGCATCGCCTGCCCCATTGTGGCCACTCAGCCTGTCAGGGGCAACTGTGGCTTGGAGCCTCGTGCTATGCTTTCTGCTGGGCACAGCACTGGCACAGCAGGGTCATTCGGTGATGAGAGGGAGAGAGAGAGTTCCTTACGCTTCACTAGTCCTGAGCCTGGGTCCAGGCCAACCTGAGCTCTGATCCCTACTCTGCTGCCAGGTGACTTGGGTGCACACCTTTCTGAGCTTCAGTTTGCTTGTCTGTGAAATGGATAGTATTAACAGTCACAAAGCAATAACTCTCTCTAAGTACCATGGTAATTCAATTAAGCTTCCCACTGATTCTATGAGACAGGTACTATTATTATCCCAATGTTATAGGTGACACAACAGCCTGACCTCCGCACACACCCCACTGGTGCAGGTGGGTAGGAGGCTGATGTCCCATCTGTCAACCAGGGGAACAAGTAAAGGTGGGGGTGATCACCAAGGACCCGCCACCAACCTGGTCCCTGTCGCTGCACAAGCAGGTGCGGAGGTACCAGGTGCTCCTGTCGCTGATGCTTTCTAGCCAGACCAAAGACCAGGTGACGGCAGGTGCCATGCAGCGGCTGCGGGCCCGGGGCCTGACAGTGGACAGCATCCTGCAGACAGATGACGGCACACTGGGCAAGCTCATCTACCCCGTAGGCTTCTGGAGGGTAAGCCCAGCCAGGGCCAGGAGTGGCATAGGCCTGGGAGGGACTTCAGGAGGCTGAGGGGGGCAGTGGGTGTGCAGGAGGCAAGAGTTGGGTATCTTTGGCCACTGGGGCCTGGATGCGAGTTCCTGCTGATGTCCCCCACCCCACTGACCAGCCCATGGGAGCTTGGGCCTTGGGGCCTGGAGCCCAGTCACTGGAGCTCCTTGGCCTTTCCCATTTGACCCCCTTCCTTCCTACACCTCCAGCCCCCTTGCCTGCCCAGCTGCCTTTCCCTTTGTCTGTTTCAAGCCTCCCTGGAGTGTACCACCTCTCTCTCCTCCAGAGCCCCTTGCCCTCCAGGAGCCCCAGAGAGACTGCTCCCCCCACCCCACAGAACACTGGTTGGTAGATGGGCGGACCTGTTGACAGCGCCTTGGCGGGTGGAGCTGCTTCCCCTTGGCACTGGCGTGGGCCAGAGTTTGTCAAATGGGTTTTAAATAGCCCTCTCTGCTCAGCACAGGATGGGAACCGCCCGGCTGGGCTGGCGGCTGGTGGGAAAGCCCCTGCCTCCAGCCTTCCTTCCTGAAGGCCCAGGTGCTGCTAAGCCCAGCTCCTGGGAATTGCTGGCCTGCTTGGCCTGGCCTGGCCTCTGGGGGGAATGATGAGACAGGCGGACCAAAGCCAGACCCCGCACATATCATTGGCCCATGCTGGTGGGAGGCAAAGGTCCAGGCCTGCCTTGAGGCCCTGCCAGGGTCTCCCTGGGGCTTCCCTGCTGCCCTTGGCTCGTTCCTACCTCCTGGAGGGTAGAAGTGAGTGGGTACCTCTACATGTGTCCTGGGCAGATGAGAGCTGCTCTGGAACCAATGGGTCTCCCTGGGGCTTTGTCTTCCCAGGTCAGGTTATACCCATCCCCCCATCCAGGCCTGATTCCCCCCAATCTTTCAGAACAAGGTGAGATACATCAAGCAGACCAGTGCCATCCTGCAGCAGCACTATGGCGGGGACATCCCAGCCTCTGTGGCAGAGCTGGTGGCGCTGCCAGGCGTAGGGCCCAAGATGGCACACTTGGCCATGGCTGTGGCCTGGGGCACCGTGTCAGGCATCGGTGAGTGGCTTGTGCCCACGATGGGGGGTGACCAGCTCCAGGCTTGTTGACTGCTATTCGGGTTCCCCACATCCTTGTGACCCCAGCTTTGGCCTCCTTATCCACGACTCAGCCAAAAGGGTCAGAGGAGTGCTGTCCGTACTGAGCTAGGCCAGCCCCACCCAGAGATGGGTGCTGATGGCATGCACTAATGTTTGCTGAGCATCTACTATGTGCTGGGCTCTGTGAGGGGCCCTGGAGCTGGACTCAGGTCTGTGCCGTTAGTGGCAGAGAGACATCATCCAGGAATTCCTCACTGTGGGGTGGTAGCACCGATGGCTGAGTGGCCTGGACTGGGGCATCTGGGAAAACTTCCCGAGAAAGCCAAGAGGACATGCGCTTTCTGGGCAGAAGGAATAGTGTCTGCAAAGCCAAGATGCAGGAGAGAGGGCAGGAGCAGAAAGCTCTGGAAAGAGATGCAGGCAGGGTGGGGAGGTACAGGGAAGGCAAGGGGCTGGGGAAGAAGGAGGAGGAGTCTGGGGGGAGGCCCTTCCTGGAATCCTTTTCCTGGGTGTTGGCTTCCTGGCATCGGAGGCTGCTCCGTGCAGTTGGGTGAGGACAGACCCCTGGGGTGGCAATGGGGCTGCTTCTTCCTCAGACCTTTGCCCAGAGGAGTTGGGGCTCCTAAGGCCACACAACAGCAGGGCCCAGCCAGCCCAAAAACCAGGGTTTGATCCCAACCACTCTGTGTGCCCCCCACCCTGGGCTCTTCCAGGACTCCTGCAGGGGGAGCAGGAGAGGGGGAGGGAATCCCTGCTGCAGGTCCCTGGGCTGGGGGTGCCTGCCAGCACTGCCCAGGGCCAAGGGCTTTGGTTTTGAGCTGGTGGCCACCCCCTGAAGCTAGAGAGCACCAGCCGCCTGAAGAGCTGGTACCAGCCTGGCAGGAGTGGGTCAAAGCCTCTTCCCTACCTCGAGTCTGAGTGCTGCTCACTCATGAGCTCTCAGCATATACTTGAGCTTATCTGGGTGGCTGTCCTCAGCTGCCCACATCCCAGGAATGCTGGGAGTGGTTGGGCAGGGGGAAGGGCCCCTTGTCCAAGGCAGGGCAGGGGGCAGTGCTTTGGGAGCAATGGATGTAACAGACAGAAGTGTCGGAATATCACTCTCTCTGGTTGTCTGTGGATCTGACCACCTGATGGGAGACCCCAGGCCTGCCTCCTAGGGGGTTCCCTGAGAGAGAAGCCCTGTCAATTAAAAAGCTAGAGCCAGCTGCCTGGTTAGCTTAGTTGGTTAGAGTGCAGCCTCATTACCCCAAGGTCATGGGTTCAAATCCCCATACTGACCAGGTGGGGGGGGGGGAAAAAAGCTGGAGCCATGGGGTACAGGAGCCAGTCCCAGCTCTGCCCCTCCCAACTGGGTGACCTTGGGCAAGACACTTGAGCTTCAGCCAAAAACTGAGTAAAGGAGTCGGCCGCCCCAACTACTCATGTGCAGGAAGCCCTCTGAGGAGGGCAGAGGAAGCTCACATGGCATGATGTAGCCCTGGACTGGGCCCCTGGGTGTCCTAAGGAGTACGGTCCTTTCCTTGTTACAGAGGAGGGAACAGGCACAGGGACCCACAGATGCAACCCCTCACCTTCGTGTTTTCCCTGTGCCCCCAGGATGTCTTTTTCCAAGCAGTTGGCAAGGGATACGGTGCAGGGACTGGCTTCCTTTTTGGCAAACACAGGAGAGGGAGGCAGAGCTAGGACTGCAGTTGGCCAGAGCAGCCGGATGGGAGGAGGCTGTGGTGAGCGGGCAACCAGGCCGAGCCCCCGGGATGGCCAGGCAGAGGGGCAGAAGCCAAAGCCCAGGTGGACCACAGCTGCGGCAGGCTGGGTTGCTCTCTCCACTCTGTCCCTGACACCTGTAGTGGCAGGTGCTGGCTCTGCGGGCAGTGACCTCATGCTGGCCCACTGGGCTGAGCTGCTGCCACCCACCTGGTGCCCACAGCCAGTGCCTGGGCCTGGGCCACTTCAGAGTCAGAATCCTGCTGGGCCTCAGCAGCTGCATCTGTAGTTGTCTGGTTAGGACGTACTAAGTCAAGGCCGGTAAATAGCACAGGGTCTGGCCCCTAGCAAGTGCTCGACCTAAGTTAGTTCCTGTTGTTGGGGGAAATAGAGCCCAGAGCAGATATAGCATCCCCCACCCCCCTGCCCAGAGCAGAGGACCCCCCCCCCAAGCTCCCTGGGATTATGGGAGAGAGGCCTGAAGGGGGCTGTCTGCACCCCAAAAAGAGTGCTCCAGCCCCTGCTCCATCAGTGGAGAATCCTTGGAGGTGGCCAGGGTGCCACTCTCAGGCCTGCAGCCAGGGCTGTTCAGTTCTGGTCCCCGCTCGGAGGCCTGGGGGTAGGGGGTGGGAGGCTCTGGCTTTGTGCCCCCCTGGTAACCCTGCCCCACTTCCAAGCAGCAGTGGACACACATGTGCACAGAATTGCCAACCGACTTCGGTGGACCGAGAAGGTGACCAAGTCCCCAGAGGAGACCCGGGCCTCCCTGGAGGAGTGGCTGCCCAGGTGCGGGGACAGGGAGGCAGGCGGGAGGGGGGCAGGGTCTGCCCCCCCCCCCATGGCACTGATCGGGCTCCCACCCCCACAGGGAGCTGTGGGGCGAGATTAACGGACTGTTGGTGGGCTTCGGCCAGCAGACCTGTCTGCCCGTCCACCCTCGCTGCCAGGCCTGCCTCAACCAGGCTCTGTGCCCGACTGCCCGGCGCCTCTGAGGCCATGTCTGTGAAATGCCCTTGCTTGGGGAGCTGCTGCCTGTTTCACAATAAAGCTTAGGAGTTTTTGCAGTTGGGGTCTGGCTGACTTCTATCCCTGGGGGAGGGAGATCTGGGAAGTGTGTGCTCCCAGGCTCGTGTGCATCTGGAGCAGGGCTGCCTGGGAGGCCGGGATGGGGATGTGACAATCTGTGCTGTGTACTCAGGGAGGGAGGGGAGAGTGGGTGTGCATGAACCCGGGAGGGAGGGAATGGTGAGCACCAGCTGCAGCCAGCTGCTGGGAAAGCCACTGCCCCCACGTACCCCATCCACCCACTGGGGGCAGGCCAGCAGCTTCTCAGCCCACATCTGACCTCCAGTTCCTGAATTTGTGCACCTGAGAGCCCCATCTCTGTGGGGCCCCACCCCCACATTTACAGAATCACCTGGCTTCAAAAGGGACTCTCAGACCCAGGCTAGGCACCGCAAGGCACAAGGCTTGATCTCTGGGTAGCTTCTGAAGCTGCACCAGGTAGAGGGTAGCCCATGGGGGTATCAGGGGCCCAGGTGGCTTCATAGGGGAAGTGAAGGTGGGAGGTGGGCCTTGCCAGGCAAAGTGGTAGGCAAGGGCCCCAGAACGTGCAACAGAGGGTGGGAGAGGACAAGCCTTGGCGGTGTAGGGTCCCAACAGGTCTGGAGTGGGAAGGGGGAGAGGGAGCAGAGATGAGAGCAGACAGATGCAGGCGGGGGGCCGAGAAATGAGACCCAGTTTCCAGCAACTGAGACTCAGAGGAGGGGGCTGGCAGCTACTGCCTCCCTGCCCCAACCACGGCTTCCTGAGAAGGGGCCTCCTTCTCCCACTCCCCCACCCCTGGCTGAAGGCTCAGAGAAGACAGAGGCCCAAGGTCAGAGACAAGCCCTGTTTATTCAGAGGGCGCACACGCGCTATGGCTTACGAGGCAGACAGCAGTGCCGGTCAGTTTGGGGGTTCGGGGCACAGGAGGAAAAGGTGGTCAGCAGGGTCTCCGTGAGGCAGGTGCAAGGCAGGGTCAGCCCAGAAGCCGGGTGCCTCCTGGGCCTGCTCTCATGCCCCACACTCCCAGGCCCTAGCAGGGCGAGGGGCAGCATGGGGTAGCTGGACAGGGGAGCTGGGGGTGTGGGTCTGGCCTAGTGATATCCACACCGGGAGGGGCGGGGGGCAGCTCCTACAGCCACATTTGGCCTCCCAGTCTTACCCTGAAGCCCCCACGAGCACAGCCTGGGGGCCCCAGCTCTCTCTGTCCCCTGGAAGTCCCTAGGACTCCCCCTCAGGATGGCCGCTGTGGAGGGGGTGGGGGAGGAAATGGTTTGCAGAAAAAGGTTTGTTTTATTGCAATTATTTAGAGAGCGCGTCCCAAGGGGGTGGGGGAAGGGAGCTCTGGTATGAAGTGGAAACATGTGGAGCTGGAGATCTTTTTGGAAAAAAAGCGAAAACACAAATTCCTTTCAGTCAGCAGGCCCAGGGCAGGCAGCGCAGGCCCTCACCCCCGTGGCCCATGGCTCTGCCCACTGCCTCTCTCTCCGTCCCTCTCCCATCTTGCTGTGACATGCCCCCGGCACCAAGCGGGTGGCGGACAGGACAGGAGCTCACTGGGGCATGGGTGGGTTTCCAAGTGGTAGAGGAACGACCCTCCAGTCCACTGAGGCTTGGGGAGCTCTGGGCGGCCCAAGCCCGTGCAGAGGCGGCCGGGGGCCCAGGATTGGGCAGGGAGGGGCTCAGAAGTTGCTGAAGATCTCGCGCTTGCGGTTCCAGTCCATCTGCGGCGCCCGCTTGTTGACCCGCGTGGCTCGAGCTTTCTCCTTGGCCTCGGCCGCGGTGGGGCTCAAGTGGAGGCCACTCTCCTGGAAGGGGTCTCGCTTCCAGCCACTGCCATCCTGGGGGTGGGCAAGGTGCCCAGAGTAAGCCCCAGACCATGGCCCCAGACAGTGACCCTTCCCATGGAATGCACACTGGAGGCCACCTGGTAGGGCTGGGGCAGCAGGCTCAGGAGGGCTTCCTGGATGTGGTTGCCCCACTGCCCAGGCTGATGCCTCCACAGACAGCCACACCCAAGGCCTCAGGCACCCCTGTGTGTGAGCACAGCAGTGGGGGCAGGAGGAAAACCAGTTACCTCGGCATCCTTGTCCGAGCCGGGCAGGTCACTTCGGGACGAGCATGCTGAGCCACCATTGAGCTGGGAAACCGAGGGCAAGCTGTGGCTTCAGGATCCCCATCTGGAGAGCCGCTGAGGCACACACAGACGCGCGCACGCACACACGTGCATGCACACGCATACACATCTGCACACGCGCATGCGCACACACCACAGCTTCAATCACTCAGCAGGCACCCGGCCTCTACTACACCCCAGGTCCCGCTGGGCACATGCTGGGCACAGTGAACAGGCAGGTGTCCTGGCCCTGGCCGGCTTACGACACAGATAGGGTGACTGGGTGCAGGAACCACCCATGTGTCACCTGGGGTAAACTGAAAGCTGGCCTCCTGAGGTGGGGACTGAAGGATGGCTCGTTAGCCAGGTAGTGCCAGGGAGAGGAACACAGGGCAGCAGTCCTGGGACCCATGGCTGGGGTGCGCTGCTGACCCAGACGGGGTACACACAGGCATTAAAACTGGGGCGATGGGGCCAGAGGTGCGTCTCACAGCTGCTCCTACTCAAGAGCAGGGATCTCCAGGGGGAGGGGGACCTCCATCAGGCCTGGGGACCCCCAGAGGTGCCCCTGTGGTCCCATGGACCCGCCTCTCACCTGGATAGGACTGGTCCCGTTGGTGACAGGTGATGGCAGTGGACCTGTGGGGACAGTGTGTCAGAGGCTGCCCCAGCCCCCACATTGCACCACCCTGTGCCTGGGGGCAGCAGCCCACCTTCCACATGCTCCGCGGTGGGTGTGACCTGTAGCCGCTTGAAGTGCTCGTCCGTCTCAGGGTCCACCACGAGCAGCCGCGCCTCATTGTCTCTCGCCTTGATGCTGGCAACAACCTCAGCATGACGCAACCCCTCCACATTCTGCCCATTCACCTGCCACCGCCAGCACAGGGTCAGCACTGCCGAGGGGCCCAGCCAGCACCCCATGTCCTCCCACGCCACCCAGCAGGTGTGGCATCAAATATTCATCAACGCTGCCACCAGCCAAGGCAGCAAGACAAGTGCCAGCTCAGGTTCCCTGCACTCCCTCCTCCCAGCATGGCCCAGGGACCCAACATGGACACACGCACAGGGACATGCAAACACACGAGCAGGGACACGCAGACACACTGGGCACAGACCCACAGAAACACAGGGACAGACACACATGGGGATGCACAGACACACGGACACACATGAGGACATGCAGACATGGGGACACGGACACACATGGGATACACAAACACATGGGTATGCACAGATAGACACGCACAGGAACATGCAGACGTGCATGGGGACACAGAGACACACATGGGGATGCACAGACACGCATGGGGACACATGAGGACACGCAGACATGGCGATGCGGGCACAGACACACACTGGGACATGCAGACACAGACACACACTAGGACAGGGACACACACAGGAACGCAGTCACACACATGGGGCGCCCAGCACCCCTGAAGCCTTGGCAGGTGGGGCACCTCAATGAGCCGGTCCTGGGCACGGAGGCCGGAACTGGCAGCAGGGGAGCCCGGGTCCACAGAGCGGATGTACTGGCCAGGCCGGGACTTGTCACTGTGCAGGTTGAAGCCATAGCCCTGGGGTCCTTTTCGCAGGTGGCAGAGCCGAGGACGCAGCTCCCGTGGGGGCCCATTGACATCCTGCATGCACAGGAGATGCAGGATCAGGCTCTGGCTCCAGCCTCCCACCCCCAGAGGCTGCGCACCGCTGGAGAACTTGACCCCAGCCCCAAGCTCCGTATTGTGCTCCTCCACCTGGCAGTGGCAGGCCCAGGTCTCAGTGACAAATACTCTGTGTGCCCCATGCCCCAGGGCTTGGTGAGGCTGCCTGTGAGGGAACTTTAGCTGTGGAATCTTGGGCAAAGCCTCAGTTTCCAAACCTGAAGATGTCTTCTGGTGGGACCCACTGCCTTATGGGGTGTTGGGAGAACTCACTTGGCTCAAGGACAGTGCTGTGGACTGTCAGGGTTTTTGGCAGAGGCCAGGCGGGAAGGCTGTCCCTGCAGGCACCCCCTCCCTGGTGTGGGGCTGGCGCTCCTAGGCCAGAGGTTTTGGGTTCTCTCCAAGGCCTCCAGGAGGCTGGCAGTGTTTGCTTCCACATTCCAGCACACTGCAGCCACCCCTGCCCCCGCCCCCATCGGGCCCAGAGAGAAGGGGCTGGGGCCAAGAGAGGGGGCCAAGGATGGGGCCTGCCCACCTCTCTGCCCAGACTCAGAAGGCCACCTGGGGCCCCAAGGAACCCCCACCACCACCCTACCTCCCTTTACCTCTGGCATCCTGCTGTAGGGCTCTTAGGCTAGTGGGCCGTGCAGGCAGGGACCACGCCCGAGACCCCCACCCAGCCAAGGGCCTGGGCAGTGACCACGGCAGTGGCCAGTGGCCACTGTGCTCAATTAAACATGGGCGGGTGGCTGGAGTGAGCAGGCGGGTGGCAGCTCAGGTTTCCAGGGAGCGCTCAGGGCTCCAGGGCATGTGCAGGTGAGTGTGCAGGCCAGGGGTGCTCACCAGAGCCCCTCCCTTACCTGCCACCTCCCCAGGTATCACTGAGGGACCACAGGCCAGGTTAGGGTCATGCAGCCCTGACCACCCACTGACCCCTCCAGCAGCCTTTAGCATGGCCCCCACCTGGCCCCCACTACACCAGGACTTCCAGGACCCCACTGCATAGACTCGTCCCCTCTCCCAGACACACCTGGAGGTACAGGTGTGGGGCTCTGAGACAGGCCTTAACACCTCCCCATGGACATAGGTCACAGCACAGCCCCTGAGGCTGGCTGGCTGGGGACAGCAGCTCTCAGGGGAGGGAGGGAAGCAGGCCAGAGCCGGGCATGGACACAGCCCAGGTCGCAAAGGCACATCACGAGGTCACAGAGACAAGATGTCCAAACACAGACTCACAAGCACGCTACATGGACACAGACAGCCACCCACACATGCCTGTGGTGCCGGCCCCTGCGGCCTCTTCCCACGCCCTCAGCAGTGGCAGGGGGGTCTCTCAAGGCCCCCAAATGGGAAGCAGGATTTGGTGGGGCATCCGGGGCCATGAGGCCAGGCAGAGGCCACGAGGTCATGCGGAGGCCACATCCACGTTCTTGGGGCCATTCTGGCTATCCCCCTGCATCCATCCAGAAGGGCCACCTCTCACCTCAAGCCAAGAGGTTTCTGCTAGTGTCTCACCTAAACCCCCTTGCTGTAAGCAGGGTCGGGGGGCGTACCAAATGGCACTAGACCCCCAAGAGGAAGGGCCAAGTGCAGGGACGGCATGGGGCACATCCCCGCACTCCTCCTCCAGCCTGGATCGTGCACACTTCCTGCTGCCTCCTGCCATGCCCTCCGGCTCCCACGGCTCCCAGCTAGACAGCCTGTGGCAAAGCCGGGCAAGCCCCGTCCCCAGCCATGCCTGTAACCAGACGAAGAGGCTGGCATGGGGGTGCCCCGGGAGCTGGGCTGTGTCCCCCCAGATGGTGACTCACCAGTCCTGGCAGAGAAAGGCCCCCCTTTGTTGCTCGGCGTCCGCTCACACCAAGCTCCCCTGAGTCCCCTCTTCCTACCCTGGGGGCTAAGCCAGCAGCTGGGGTCCTCAGCCCCATTCTGCCCCACCTCACCTGACCTGCACAAAGCCCCGGGATGGGCTCCGTGGAGGGGCTCCTGGGGCCAGGGCAGGTGGCGCGGCGCTCCCCAGGCGGGCCATGAGCATTGGGACAAAGATGGCAGGCAGTGGAGTGGCCTGAGCTCCCACTTATCTACCTCCCACTGTGGCCCAAGCTCCCTGGGGATGGGTGGGGACAGGGGGGACTGAGTCACTTTGGGGAGCAGGGTGGTGACTGCGCCCCCTCCCCTGCTGAGGCTCCAGCCTGGCGTCCCCCCACCCAGCTGGGTTTCCGTCCCAAGAAAGGAAGGAAGGAAACTGCTGGGAGGCCCTGCCCTACACCAGGACCCAGGACTGGGGAGACAGGGAGGCAGGGTGGGGACCCCAGCCCCAGAACAGAAGACAGTCCCACCATGGCTCACAGGGTGGGGTGGGGAGCAGGAGCAGGGGAGCCCCAAAAGCCTTCTTGCAGGCACTGCATCCCATACTATGTAGCCACCTCCTGCAGAACTGTCACCCCCACTCACTTTCAGCCCCTGAGACTCTCCAGACAGGGGGTGGCGGCATGGGCTGGGGGCAAGGGGGCAGAGCGCCCAGACCTGTACCGCTTCCGAGGCCCTGGCACAGATAGCTGCCCCATCTCTGTCTGGGGGCTGTCCTCTGTCGTCACTGCTAGGATCAGCTGTACTGCAGCTGCAGCCACTCCAGCTGGTGTGGCCTGGGGCTGAGTCACTGCTGACTAGGCCCTCACGGCCCCCAAAGGGAGGGGCCAAACACATCAGTGTCCTCCTCTGTCCCACCTCCTCCATCCCCACCCCCGGACAGAGGACACTGGGACCCAGAGAGGGTGAGAGTGGCCCTTACCTCCCACAGGGCACCCAGGAGTGGGCCTTCTCTATCCTGCACCAAAGCAAAACCCCATACATCTGCCCCAGGTCTCCTGTTGCTCTGCCACCACTGCCCCCATCGCAGCACCCCCCTTCAGGGTAAGCTCTGCCCTCCAGGTCCCCAACAGCCCAAGGCGCTCCCTGCCCGTGATGGGTGGTATCTGAGCCTGGTTTCTGGAGGTCACAGGAGGTCCAGCTCCTCCTTCCAATGCTGTGAACTCAGCTAATTAAACTTCAGGTCTCTGGCTGGTGGGAAGGAGAGGGGGAGACCGGGTCCCTTGGGCCCCCCCTGACCTCCTCGAGTCCCTGTCCCCAGCCCAGCCCCACCTACAGAAGTACCTGGCAGTTGGGGCCTTCTTTGTTTCTCTAAAAATACACCCAGAGGAAGCCCCCTCCTAGGGTTTCCTGCAGCCCCCAGAGCCTGAAATAGCAGAGGGGGAAGGTCCCACCCAAGGACAGGGTGCCTCAGCTACCCCACCCTTCAGATAAGACCCGAGGGCGGATTTTTCCACAGGAAGGTGAACTCTGCAGTTTGTGTCTAAATCAATGGACAAATGCCTTGGGGGGGCGGGAGAGCTTCCTCCTGGCGGGGAGGGGGTGCCCTGGAAAGAGGGAGGCTCCATCCCTCAGCCTGAGGGAAGGGGAGCCTAGGATGAGCCTGCATCCTGCAGTGCCCACCAGCCATCAGTCCAGGGCTCCTCTGAAAGACATCTAACCAAAGGAAGACCTAGGGCAAAGTCCAGACTTGAGGGCTCAGCGCTCATGGCCCTGATCGTCCTCATGGCCTGCCCTGGAGTTCCAGAGAATGAAAAGTGTCCCATAAGCTCCCAGGCCCAAGGCTTTGCCCAGGCTGGGCTTCCCATCGAGAATGCCATCTCCCAGCCAAGACAGGCCCCACAGGGCCCAGCTCACAGACACAGCTTGAGTGGGAGACATCTAAGAAAGGGAAAAGGTAGATGTCAAGGTCCCTGGCACTCCCAGAAACTCCAAAACTGACACCTCCGCCACTGCTAGGCCAGTGGTTCTCAAAGTCGGATCCAGGGGGCTCCTGGACTTGAATCCCCTAAAGAGTTTTTGGGTTTTTTTTTTGGCAGCTGGCTGGTAAGGGGATCCAAACCCTTGACCTTGGTGTTATGACATCACGCTCTAACCAACTGAGCTAACCGGTAAGCCCTCCTAAAGGGATTTCTTTGGAAAAAAAGTAAAACAAAAGGGAGAGGCATGAGAGACAATAACATCAAGGTTTCCAAGCGTGCAGGACAAAGAGCCTCAGGCTCTTCCTCCTGGCCATGCACGCTGGGGGCCACCTCCCAGGCCGGATACCTGGAAGGAGGTGGGACAAGCTCTCCCCAGTTCTCTGGGCCTGGAGGCAGGGAGGACCAGAGAAGGTGCTAACGAGCAAGGGCCCAGGAGGTTCAGCAAGTGGAAACCCCTGTGCCCTCCCTTTTCTCTGGGGGGAGGAGCGGGCTTCCCCAGAAGCATCTTGTGAGGCTCCCCAGGACCTAGCAGCATGAAGGGCAACCAGGCTGCTCAGACGGAGCAAACCAGCACACAGCAGTTACAAGACCCCCAATACAGACCTTGTCCCCATGTGTGTCCCAGCTCCCCCCAGGCTGTGCCCCATTTCAGAATGTCTCCTCAGTTCCCCCAACACCATGGACCTCTCCAAGGCCTTCCCAGCACACACAGACTCCTCAGACAAAGTGAGCTACGGACAGACACCCAACACAGACACAGAACTGGGCAAACTCAGTCCTGGACTGTTCCAGTAACTCCTCCCAGGGCTACTCAGCCACTAGGCCAGGCAGGGAGGGGGTTGGGGGGGTTAGCTTGTTATAGTGATCCCTCCCTAGGCCAGGTGGCTCCTTAGTGTCATAAGGAAGAGGGACAGAGACAGGGGGCCAGGGCCAGGCTGCCCTGACCCCACCGAGTTTAGAACACAGGCTGAGGACAGAGAGAGTAGCCCCAAGTGACCAGGAGAGCAGTCACCAGGAGCACAGACAGTGGTCACTGGGGCAGAGAAGGGGCCCGAAAGGCAGAAGAGCCAGAGACTTCCGGAGGTGACTGAAGGCGAAGATAGTCACTAAGAGGCCGAGATGGTGGCTGGGGAGGGCCAGGGTGGCCCTGTGGGTAGAGCCCACCATACCTTCTGGCCAGGGTCAGAGCTGACACTGCCTGCACGTGTCCAGTCCAGCTTGGGCTCCCAGGGGTCGTGGGTGGGCGGAAGCCCTCGCTGGGCCATCTCCTCGGTGCAGGTCAACTGCCGCCGGCGCAGCTCCTCATCCGTCTCCTTGTCCACCACCAGCAGCCGAGTCTGCCCTTCCACAGCCTTGATCCTCTGCACCACCTGGGACGGGCGGGAGGCAGGAGCGGGTCAGCAGCCATCACTTGGGGCGGCACATGGATGGTGGCACCACTCTGGGCTGGCCCAGGCTCACGGGCAGGCGCTGGTCCACCAGGCGTGGGCGGCTGGACCGAGAGGCCTGCGGGCCCCGCCCCCCACCCCCAGTGTCCACAGCTCCCTCCCTCCTGTCCCAGGGCTCCTGACATGGGGGCCCAGGCTGTGAGGACTTCAGGATCTTCTCCAAGAGGGCCAGGAAGGGGCTGCGGGGTAAGGCCAGCTGGGTGAGTCAGTCTGTCTGGAAGTGACAGAGATGGTGCACGGCTGAGCTTGGAGTTTTCAGTCTGTGTGTGCGTGTGTGTGTTCGTGTACATCCATCTGTTTCAGAGTCTGTCTCTCAGTCTGGATTTGAGGGAGAGAGGTGTCTCCCTGGTCCCAGTTCAGGCGGGTCTGTGCCTGCTTCTGTCTTTCTTGGGGTGCTGTGTGGGAACCTAAACCTTTGCCTCTAGGCCTTCCATTTGCTCCACACTATGGCCACAGACCTGTTCCTGCAGGGCCTGCGGAGAGGTGAACACCTGGGTTCCACTCAGGCAGCCACACACATCCAGGCAGCTGGAATCAGACCCCGCAGGTGAGGGGGAGGGGACAGGTCCACCTGTGGGACCGGTGTGGCCTTCTGGCCATCTGTGTGCCTGTGTGGGTGCCTGTGAAGCGTCCAGAGCACTTGGCAGCCATGGAGTGTGCGTGATGCCAGTGTGCGTGGCAGGGAGGAGGGCATCGTGGTAGGAAGGGCAACAACCCCACCCCCACCCCAGCCTGGGAGAGCGGTTGGGGTCCCTACCCACTGTTCTGCTCAACAGATGTTGACAACAGATAGAAGGGTCTGGAACAAGCCCACTTTCGCCCTGGCCACCCTCTGTTCCTCCTCTCTCCCCATGACCGAGAGAGCGGTAGGAGGATCCCAGCACCCTGCTGCTTCCTGACTGTGTGGCCTGGACAAGGCATCCACTATCTGCAAACTTCAGGGTCCTCATGTGTAACATGAGGGTCACAGCTGCACCTCCTGGGGCAGTGAGGAGGGCCCGACATAGCTCTGTGAGTGATGTTCTTAGAGACTAGCACCCCAGAGGCCTTGGATAAACAGGTGCTCTTGGGGCGAGAGTGGGTCCCAGCTCTGCCAGCCATTTCCCAGGCCTCAGGCCAAGCCCTACGGCCCCCCACTCTTCTTCAGCAAACAGTCTTATCCAGTTGATACTCTGATAGAAGACAGATCACAGCACACACATGGACAGACAGGGACCCTGGGACAGAAATACGAGTTCAGCTCTTGGCCCAACCAAGAACCAATCTGCTCATCTCTGGGCCTCAGGATTGGCCACATAGACAGGTCATGGACCTGCTGGTTCTGTGAGGGGACACAGAGGACCCAGAGCAGAAGGGGTGGAGGGAGGCTGGACCCCAGCCAGGGTGTGATGTGAGTCCCTGGCCAGTGGGAGATAGACACCCTAAGGGATCAGAACGTGCAGAGAAGAGACCCTGCCCTCCTTCCCGCCTTCTCTCCAGCTGCAGGAGGCAGAGGGCTGCCATCAGTGACCCCCGTGAATCCAGGCAGCCCCTGAGGAGGGGGGTGTCTCTGGAGCTAAGGAATGTGCTGCCACCCAACCCAGACACACCCAGCTGGGACGCACACTAGTACAGCAGCCTGCAGACACACACTAGCGAGTACATATGGCCAGGTGTGAGGACACAGGCCTGGACATGTGTGCATGCACACACACACACACAGAGTCCAGCTCACACACGTCCAGGCATTCAGACCTGTCCACACACACGCAGGCAAGCAGACCTGTATGTTCACATTCACAGTCCAGCACGCGTGCACACGCACAGAGCCCAGCTCACAAGCACGTCTGGGCATTCAAACCTGTCCCCCCCCGACACACACATATGTGTTCTTACTGTGACCATTCCCTGGGTACACACAGCAGTTGTGTGTACACATGGGTGATCCCAGAGGGACCTGCACACTCCCACACACCAAGTTGTGTGCACACGCACTCAGAGAAAAGCACTTGGGTCCCCACTTGCACGCAGATGCTCCAAGGTGTCGACATCCCCCCACACGGCACACTGAAGCCAAAGTGAGACCAGAGAGCCAGGGTCAAGGGCCGGAGGGACCGCAGTGCGGGCCCCTCCCTGCCAGGACGCCACCCCCCCGCCCGCTCCTCCCGCGGCGCAGGACTGAGCTTCCTGCGGGGAGGCCGGGAAGGAGGTGCGCGGTCGCTGCTCCCGGCCACGTCCCCCACCTCTCCACGCGGGCCCCCACCTGGTGGTGCGTCTCGCCCTCCACGTTCACGCCGTTGACCTCGACCAGGCGGTCCCCGGCGCGCAGAGCGGCCGCCTCGGCGGGGGAGCCGGGCTCC